TTCATAAAGCCGCAACGCGGCGAGGACGAAGTCCATGCAAGAGCATTTCCTTTAAATGACGTTGCTATTGACTTATATCATAGACGTTCAGTACCTCATGAAGAAAGAAGAGAAATGTTTGACATAACAAATGCAAACGTTGGTGAAACACGAAAGAGAGACGACACACTGAAACAACAGAGAAGAGAGATGTTTAAAAGTGCTATAGAACAAGTTCGCAAAGCTAACGATGTCATTCGTTCCATTGACGACAAACCAAAAGAAGGTGAGAGATGGTTAAAGAAAGATGAAGAGAATAGGAAGAGAATGTAAGACAGGCAATAGACTCATTGACTTTAACATCGAAGCTTTAGATGAACCAAACAGAGACTACTTACACAAACATTTCGGTAAGGTTTTCATGAGACTCTTAGAGAAGATTAAAATAAACTCCCAACAAAGATGGATGGTATGTTATAAACTTGGTGGAAAGTATGAATGTTCTACGTTAAACCTCAATAATATTGGAACATTACTACATCAGCTCTTGAAGGAGAACTTTATATCAGAGATAGAAGCAAATGCTGCAGGTATTGTTGAAATGCACTATGACTTCTTCTTGACAAACATAAAGAATCTTACTGAAATAAAGATGTATGATTTAACAGAATATGAAGGCTTAACGATGTCAGATGTAAAGAAAGGCAAACCAAAAAAGAGACCATATAGAGATGAAAGCACACTGACAAAGACAGAAAAGATTTGAACAGACTTAACAAACAGGAGATAAACAGATATAGATGACTTCTGGAATGAAATCCTTGGTGAAAAGAAGTTTTATAAGAAGAGAAGCGGTCAGTTCTGGAAGTATCTTTGCACATTACCTATAAATCTTGAACGCTACCAAATCTTCAATGAACTGAACAAAAGAACTGCAACACTTATGACAGAAGACAATTGTTTCGTTTATGCTTGCATTCAGGCTGGAGTAAATGAAGAAACTATTGACCACATGAGAGAAGTCATTCGTGTTAGAGACTTTCCTCAAAGTAAAGTACAAGAAATTTCTGACGCAACAGGTATAGCATTTAATGTTACCATTGGTTATTTCAATGACTCAAGACATAATGAAATAAAGAGAGATATACCAAAAGAATGTGAAACTGTTCGAACTATTGACTTACTTCTTGTTGAAGACCACTACATGCTAAATGAAAGACTACCAATGACAACATATTTCATTCGCAACTATATAGAAATCTTGAAGGAGTGTGGTGGAATGAACATTGAGAAACAGATGAAGATTTATACAAAGAGAGAAGATAAATATGTAGTTCGCATGATAGAACAACACCGCTATGGGATGTTATGAAAACATTGTGGGAGTGCAAATATTTCGAACCTATTTCTTATGGAGAACTTTTCACATATACGACTGACTTATATAAACAGAACCTTGCACCATTTAAAGATTTGACATATGCTCCAAAGTATTGTGTACAACTGAAGAAGAAACAGAGTCAAAAGAAGTAAATAAAAATAAGTGCAAGTTCATTCCTGAGCACGTTTTCTTTGCTGACTTTGAGTGTAGTACCGATGGCTTTCATAAAGCTTTTAACATCTGTTATGACAGTGAAGATGGTTCAGTGAGTGAAAGCATTTGGGGTCAAAACTGTGCAACAGAATTTTTGGAGCGACTTCCTGACAAGAGTTTAATATATTTCCATAACCTCAGTTATGATATAAACTTCATCTTAAGACACATGACAGAAGTGAAAGGAACTCCCATCATTAAAGGTTCACGAACAATGCAAATAACTGGCTTATATAAAGGAAGGGCAATTATTATAAAAGACTCTTACAGTGTTATAAATAAGAAGCTTAAACTATTTCCTGCTATGTTTAACTTACAAACAGGACCGAAAGAAGTATTTCCATACAACTACTACAGCAGTTTGTTAGCAAATGACAACAGAACTGGTGTCATTTCTGAAGCTGTAAGTTTATCCGGGATGCAGATACATTCATGAAAAACATAGATTCCATCAAAGGTTGCAGAATAGATGAAAACCACTTCGACTTAGAAAAATATAGCACGTTTTATTGCAAACAAGATGTAAGAATTTTAAGAGAAGGTTTTGTAAAGTTCCGCAATGACTTATTGAAAGAGTTTGATTTAAACGTTTATGACTACGTTAGTATTTGTTCAATTGCTAACAAATTGTTTGAGAACAGAGTATACTTCCCGAATGGAAATCTTTATGACCTCTCAAATAAACCAAGAGAATTTATTTCGAGATGCATTCAAGGTGGAAGATGTATGCTGTCAGATAACATGAAACAAAAGAGCGAAAAGAAACTCATTGCTGACTTCGACGCTGTTTCATTATATCCATCAGCTATAGCAAGACTTTATACTTTAGAAGGAATTCCAAAGTATTGAAGGATGAGATGTTAAGCACAGAGTATCTCATGAGACATTTATTCGATGACGACCAAAAGGAACCCATTGGTGAAAAGTTTATGTCGGCTTCTTTGTTCTCATTAAGATAACAGAGATTGGAATACATAGACACTTTCCTTTAATAGTTTGTGACCCTGAACTAAATCCAGAACTTAACGTTCCCAGAAGTTCAAACACTTGCTGTTTAATGTATGTTGACCATATAACATTACAAGACCTCATAAAATATCAAGGTGTCAAATGTGAAGTGTTGCAAGGATACTATTACGATGGAAACAGAGATATTAGAATAAGAGATGAAGTAAAGAAGTTGTTTGAGTTAAGGTTAAAGTATAAGAAAGAAGGAAATCCTTTGCAAGAAAATATAAAGCTCATTCTGAACAGTATTTATGGCAAAACTATTCTATCTCCTATTGAGTCAAAAATAACCATAGTAGATGACAAAGATGCTATAAGATATGCATCAGAAACTACAACCATATAGTGAAGTTCGAAGGTTTGGATGGTTCAGATAAAACTATTTTCAAGCTAACGAAAAGCATTTGCAGACACTTTAACTTTGTCCACTTGGTGTTAACATTCTGTCTATGTCGAAGAGAATAATGTGTGAAGTATTCTGTACTGCTGAGGACTTAGGAATGGACATCTTTTATAGCGACACCGACAGTATGCATCTCTACAATGAAGATATCCCTCGTTTAGCTGAAGAGTTTGAGAAACGTTATGGAAGAGTTCTCATTGGTAAAAACCTTGGTCAGTTTCATAGTGACTTCGCAGAAATAACACCTGGAAAACAAAGTTTAGCATACAAGTCAATATTTTGTGGAAAGAAGACCTACATAGACTTACTCACTAACGATTTAAATGAAGTTGCATTTCACTGCAGAATGAAAGGCGTGAAGCAAGATGTTATTGCTTTAACCGCTAATGAAATGTTTCCTGACTCTGTTCAGTGTTTCTATGATGAAGATAAAGGTTTAATGGTTCCGCAAGGAAAATTTGACAAAGACTCTGAGTTCAGTTTAATGAAACTTTACAAAGCACTTCATGATGGTCAAGAGATTGGATTTGACTTATGTAAGTCTTCTAGTCCTTGCTTTACTGAAAAGTTTAACTTCTCAATAACGACTAAAACAAGCTTTATTCGTAAGTTGAAGTTCTGAGGTCATTTATTTTTGTCAGCAGTGAGACCATTCGTGATAAAAATAATGAGGTCATGAATGAGGTCATTTATTTTTGTCAGCAATGAGGTCATTCGTGATAAAAATAAAGCTAGCGTAGATTTTACAATACTGCGATGGTAGAGTTTAAGAGTTGTGCTTCAATGTAGAGACAGTCCTTATGGTCTGGAGGTAAGAACACTGGACATTTATGGTCATGAGTGGAGAACATGTCTATCCAAAACTCACGATTGAAGCCAGTTAATTTATAGTATTTAGGGTTAGGAAGTGGTGAAGTTCTTGTATGACCAATGAACTCATTTTCAACCCTTGGCTATATTAGAGAAAAGAATAGCTTGCTTTCTATCCCAAACGCCAGGTGTTACAATCTTTGAAAATTCATTTTTCCTCGGAAGCATTGCATCATAATTGAAAACATTCTTGAAATCATCACTTGGTTCAGAGATTTGAAATCTTATACGTAATGGATTTTTTTTCTTTTTAGCTACTTCATTGAATGGTGAATATATAACAAACTGACAGTCATGAGTTCCATCTTCATTTTCATTAAATTCATAATGAAAGTCTATAAGTTGTGGCTGACTACCTTCTTCTTTCAGTTGTGCAAGAAACTCACGTAAAGGCTGTAAAGTTTGTACTTCAATGTTGAACTTTTTCTCGAACATCTCATTAAATGAAATCATACATTGTTGCAATGTTGTATCGTCTTTAAAGTATTTGTATATGTGAATGTTTTGGGCGCTTAAAGACTGTTCGTCATTTTCTATCTCGACTTGAAGTATAAAGTCAACCTTTCTGAAAGCACGTGTTATATACATAGATGTTATGCCAATGTACTTCTCTTCATTTATGTTCACAATCCAGTCTGTTGGAAACTTAAACGTTACTCTGTTCCCCTTTATTTTGACGTCAGGGTTTTCACTACTGAACGCAACAGATAAAGGTATTTGTCTATACATTTAATTCGGATAAAAATAAACCATTTACTCTTTCTTTGCTTCAGCTTCTTTAGCTTTTGCTTCAGCTTCTTCTCTAGCTTTCTTCGCCAGCAAACGTGGGTTCTTTTGTCTTCCAGCAGCTAATGCAGCAAGTTGTTTTTCACTAAGTTTTCTCTTTGGTCTCTCTGGCTTTTGTTCTTGTTTTTGTTCCTTCAGTTCGGATAAAATTTGCTCGCGAATTTCTTTCTTCAATGCTTCAACATCTATGACCCCTTGGGTCTTGTCCGTAGGGCTTGTCTGAGTCATTTGACTGCAGATAAAAAACAAAATTAAAACTTTAACCGATGTAAAATGAGCTTGTCAAAATCAGAGCGAGAGTCTATTATATTAAATGACGCAAGAGGAATACAACATCCTTTCTATTACGTAAGTCAGAGTAAAGATGGTAAAATATACGTAAGAAAAAGAAAGGTTCCATTAGCGAATGCAGAGAGCGACAACATTAAGGTGCATGGCACCGAGGGTGAAGCCCATATAAAACCTTCTATTCAAACTGAAAAGTCAATAGAACCAGAAGAAAAGAAGCCAGATGTACTTTCAATAACGAACCAAGAGCTTATTGCAAAGTTCGTGAATTTCATTGAAAAACAAACCGAGTCAAAGAATCCTGACCCGCCAGTGAAAGAAGTTGAGACAAAAGAGAATGTACAGTTCATTGAAAATGTCAAGAAACAACTTCCACCACGAATGCCAAGAAGAAGAGTGAGAATAATGAAGTAAATAGATATTTTTATCTGAAGTAAATACATGCAGAACGAACAGTTAACGAATTTACTCCAGCAGAGCATATTCATCAGATTCGCTCATATTTCGATATCATAGACAATGCAGTTCAAATTGGTGACACTAATAGAAAATATTCTGACGCAAAGATTCCATCACAACCTGGAACTGCTAAAGATAACACATGGGTAACATTCAATCTCTCACCTCCTGGTGAAAATATGTTGGACCTTTACAATACATTCATTACGTATAAAATGGAAGGTCAATTTATTGTAGATAAAGAAATTGGTTCAGGTTCCAATAAAACAAACCCACCAGGATTTTGGATTGGTTTCGATGACGCTTTCTATGCAGTTGCTGGATATCAAATCCTTGCAAATGGTCGTATCGTATATTCTCAAGACAACGCAAGAGAAGAAGCATATATAACTTCAAACTCACAAACTACCGAACAAATAAAGAAAGTAGATGTTTTCTCAAAGACTCGACATGAAGATGTATGGAGTCATTCGGGAACATGCAGAACAGGACAAATTGTTAGTGGTCCAATTACAGCAGGAAAATCATTTGATTTTAAGCTTCGTTTAAGAATTCCTGTTAGAAGATTCCTTCCATTAGAAGCTATTCGATTTATTCCAGCTTTTGCAGGAAACATTCAGCTAAAGTAAAGTTCAGTAGCGACGCCTTACAATGCACATCTATATCTGTAAATGATATCATTGCTTTCAATCCAACTCTTAAAGTTGCATTTGCTTCAGATTCAAATCCACCGACAAATAAATTTGTTCCATGGAATGAACCATTCACTATGATAACGAAGGCAGTAGAAGCTAGTGGAACAGTTACTATTACAACTGTAACCCAGCAACTATTTCGAACAAAGATGGATTTTAATGAATGTTTCATTCATCCAAAGTCATTCTCTTTAGACCCTAACATTTATACAGAACTTGTAGAACATTATACAAACGAGGCTTTATGTTTTCCTGTTAAAGTTATGGATTGGATTCCTATGGACGGTTCATTCTCAAAGAATACAGATAGTTCAAGTGCAACATTTACAGCAGCTTATACGCCTATTAATGTTAAAAGTATTTGGGCACTATTTAGAAAGAAAGACAACTATTATGTTAATTTTGAGAACCCTAAGTTTAAATATCTTCAGCTTTCCATGGGAGTTTATGGAAATATGCCTGCAGAACCGAAAAATCATATGGACCTGTATTTTATGAAATGGTTGCGAACGCCTGCAATACAAACAATGATATGATAGGATTTAATGAAGATGTTATGAGGTCATTGGTGGATGATGGTAGTGTGGAACATAAATGGGATAGCTATGACAACACACATTTCTTATGTGGTTTTCCAACAGAAGTGGACTTTTGCTTCCAGCAAGGTCAAACATCTACTGCTCCAATAACATACAAATTGTCTGTTAAAGGACCTATTGAACTAGCAACTGAAAACGTACCAAAGCCACTTATTGGATTTATGAGGGATTGTTGCTTTGCCATACAAGTAAGACAGTCAGGCATACCAATAATAAGATTAGATGACTATAACTTAGCTACGGACGACAGTGAGGAATAAAGGATGAACGTTTATTTTTAAAGCTTATAAATGAGTTCTTCATCAAGCTCTCGTGAACCTTCACCATCTATGAAACAAACTTTACCAAACGATTATGGAGCACCTATTGAATATTTCTTACGAGCTGCACAATGGCAAAGAGCAGTCCCACCAAGGTTAGGTGTTCCACCAGCTCCTGTCAAAAATAGCATTTGGTCAAGTCCTTATATAAGATATGGTCTCCCACTAGGTTTGCTAGCTACAGCAGGAGCAGTAATGATGTTGAAAAGAAACAAAGCAAATGTTGTAAATAATACTGAAGTAGCTGAAGTTAAACAAACTCCAACACCTTCACAAGCAAAACCTTCAATGACTCCTGAACCTATGGAAGTACAAACTCCTGTTCAAAAGTCAACTCCTAAACCGACTCCAACATTTAAACCAGAACCTACTCCTCAAATAAATCGTAAAACTCCTGCGTTTCCTTACTGAAAAATAACGTTATTTTTATTTAATATTAAAATTTTTATTTGATTGAAATGACAAATAAAGTCACTGAAGCAATGAAACAAAAGTTTTTGGTAGAATACATTAAATCAGGAACTATTCCAGAAGGTTTTTACATTCATACTATGAAGGATGGTAGAGTTCAGTTTAGAAAGATAAAGCAATCATTAGATAAAGAAGGAATTTTGAGAAAGATTAAACTTCATGAGGACAACATTGCTGAACTTAAGAAGAAGTTAGAAGAGTTGGAGAAAGGAAGAGAGTTATAAAGCAATGAATTCAACAGGGTGAAAAAACAGGTGAAAAAAGAGGTGAGATCTCACCACTTCACCTAAATTTATTTTTGTGCTATGTTTTCATACGTGTGAGGGTGGTGATATCATTAATTTTTAAGTTTATTTTTTATTTTATTTTTAAGTTTATTTTTTATTTTACTGAAAATTTTTATTTGGATGTAAATGACAGAACAAAAGCAACTCATTCGAATTCCACAGTATAACAAACATACATTTAAACATTTATTCTTCCTTCCTGAGCATAACATGTTCTTTCAAATACATCCGAGACCAGTTGACTTTTCATTGACTGTGTATAAAGATAGAAATAGTTATATCATTAAACCATACGATGACGAAGGTAAGTTATGTAAATTGTACGTTAAAAAGTTAGAGAAAGTTTATGGCTTCAGGTATGACTACAATAGGGTTAACACTGATGATGAAGATATTGAGGAAAATTTATGAGAACATTAGTGAAGTCGTTAGTGAGAACGATAGTGAGAACGTTTATTTTTTACATTAGTGAGTTCGTTAGTGAAGTGGTTGGCGGCTTTGTAAATATTTAAGGTTAAGTTAGTGTTGGGTAAGGTGGAACGCAGTGCCGCCGTACCCAAGACTTGTATACTAACTACTCCACCTATGATAGTTCCTGCCGTTTTCGCTACTGGTGCCAAAAAGTTTGCAATGGGTTTAATAATCTTTTTATGAACCCAACCCGCAGCTTTCTTAATTCCATCCCATAATTTTTTAAAGAATCCTGCCGCCATAGTTGATTTAATATTAATTAAAAAATATATTTCATCACTTATATTCTAATTTTTATTTATTAATAAATGAAACCGATTTTAAAAATAAATGAAACAGAGGAAGAAATAAATGAAAATGTTCAACAAAAAATAAACGTTGTTAAACCAATTACTGAAATAAAAATTTTTTCATCTGTTGAAGAATTTAATGACTATTATGCTAATAATAAAAAATTATTTGAAGAATTGACAACATGTAAATTGAATAAAATGTTTAAAGTTGATGGATTCAAAATTTCAAAAATAAAAGGGGTGATTAGTTTGAAATCTATTCCCCAATCAAGAATCACCTCATTAATGAAAATAGATGATTTAACAAAAAGAATAGAAGAGATTGAAGAAAGAATGAATCAAATAATTGATTTCATAAATTCAAATAATCATTAGTTTCTTAAAGTTCTATGTTGATTCTGAGACATGAATTTTTAAAGTTTATTTTTTTCATTATGTATTTCATTATGGTAGTGAATCTTTTACTCATGAAAATAATTATTTCTAATTTCTTTTACTCTCTCATACATACTAGATTTAAAGAATTCAGAACTTTTACCATAATCTCCTAAATGTTTTCTTATCTTATTGGTTTTCCATTCATTATATGAAACTGTATAAACTTTATCTTTATCTTTGCATCTTTCATCACTTCCAATATATTTATATTTCAATTTTGATTTATTGGTTTCATATTCATTAACGTTTAATAATTCACAGTCTTCCTTTTTAAATAAATGTTTTATGTATTCAGGATTAACAATTCTATAATATTGCTTCCCTTTAAATCTTTGAATATAAACAGGAACACCATCCTCTAAAATTCGATAATCTATTTTATCTGGTTTTACTTGTTGGGTCATTTATGTAAGAATAAAAAAATAAATTATTTTAAAAATAATGTGTTAAAAAAATGATACAAAATCGCTCGATATTGTATGAATTCTTACGTTTACAAAAAAAGTCACACAACCCATCCTATCCTACTACTCTTTATTAAGTATAAGATAACATAAATTAAAAGTTGTAATTATAAAATCTGTTTAAAATATTGTTATCTCTATTATTTACTTTCTTAATAAAATAAGAATTACTTCTTCATCGGTTGAATTTAGTTTTGAAAATTCCAAAAAAATTATTAATGTCAAAGTTTTAGAATCACTAATGTTAGATTTCTCATCATTTTCAGAATTTTCAAATTTTTTTGGAAAAACTAACCAAGCACAATATCATACAGAATGATTGTCCCGAGGTTGTGTTCATCATTTTCAAGCTTATTTCCTGATTATTATATCAGTTTCCTAATTCTTAGTGAAAAATGGCGTTTTTTAATATGAATTATAGCACATATTATCAAATGTTACAAACTCTGTTTGTGAAACAGGTTCAAAACATCAACAAACAATTTTCTTCTTTAATAATATCGATTTACAAGTTAAATATCTTTCAACTATCCAAATATTATAAATATTCCTAAGGTTAGACAGATTTTATTTTACTCAATTCTATTTATTCCCACTTTATTTCTATTATATTTTGAGATTTTTACCAATTTATACGTATATAGAATAAATTCTAAATAATTATATAGTAGTACAAGAATTATGATCGAAGATCTTTTCTAATTTTCAAGATTGAGATTTTTCATTTGAAAGACTATTTAAATAAAGCGATTGATGTCTTTTCATTACTTTCTTTTGCGGAATTAGAATAACTTGAGAGATTAAATAATAACAAACATGTTTATTTATACAAAATAACATAATTAGTTAGAAACTATCTGAAGAGTATTCATGAGATTCTTTTATGTTAATACTACTCAGGTATTCATCATCATCGTCATCACTAAGAGATAAAATGAGTGGAACATGACTTGTAGTTAATGTATTTCCAAATACTGAATCAGCAGCTTTACGGTTGCCAGGAAACTTGTCTGCGATAAATGTTCTTCTGTCTGTTTCAAGTTTTTCTTTGATTTTATTTTCAAAATCCGAGAATCGTTTTTCAAATACTTCTTTTTGTTGCTTTTGTCTCTGTTCAAGCGTATGACCCATTGATTCAACAATTTTATTGATATCAACAGTAGGTTTTGAAATCGGATTTGTTTTTTCAATCTTTTTACTAGTAGTAGATGTGTTGTGTCTCCTTAGCTTGTGAAGTTCAAGATATTCCTTTGATTTGAATTGTTTGAAGCAATAAGGGCATTGATAAATTACCGTTACATCTGGTGTTTTTGTAGGCTTTACACGAGAATGAATAAGTTGATCTTTGGCACTATATAACTGTTCTTTTTGTACTTGCACTATTTCTCTAAGTTGATTGTTCTCTTTGGTGAGCTCTTTGACAGCTATTTGAAGCAATTGGAAGTATTTAAATACTAAATTTGCTTCTACAAAGTTAGGATCTACAAATAATGAATCAGATTTTAAAAAATCTTTGATGATAGCTTTTAAATCAGATCGATCTCTAGTATTCCTAAGCTCTTCTACATCTAAATCCTTAATGAAACCCCAATCAACAACTTTTATATTAAGAAGACCAGTTTTTGATTTGGGTACATTATCAAAGTAACTCATTTGAAAGATAATGCAAAAAAGATTTCAAAATCGTCAAAAAGTTTTAAATAAATGAATCAAACAATATTAATTAATATCACAAACTGATGAAAAATTGAGATGAACATTTTATACTGTTAATATCAATCAAGTAATTTTCCTTATAGAGCTGTAAAATACCTGTCATATAAAGGGGGATGAATTTCAATCTTTTAATTCCATGAATCTTCTATAACAAGTACCAATAGATAGTTTATCTATAGTTTAGTAATAGTGTGTATAAATTCATTAAAAGTTGTCATTTCATAGACATAAACCCATTATATTTCTGAATATGATTGTTGGTTTAATGATTTTCGTCCATTCTAGGATACACATATATTTCTCATCTTATAGATTAGGAAAAGTTAATATTTTTATTCATAATTAGAAAGATAGAAAATATAAGTGAACAGGAATTAAAATTAGATCTTTTGTTGTTGATCATTGAGTAAAGGTGACTCTTTTGTAGGTTCTTTGGCCGGTTTTGCCTCGTTTTCGTCGACTTCTTCAATAATTTCACGAATTCCTTCGTTTTCATCCCAATCGCTACCAGAAATGAATTCAGTCTGAACAGTTGCATCAACAGGCTGCTTCAGCTTCTTCCTGTAAATTAAATAAACAATTACAAGTAATACGATGAATCCAACATAGATATATGTAGAATATGCAACAGAGTATGTTATAGAGTGCCATGTTGTGTTGTATCCGTCGTTTCGAATCTCATATCCCAAACATGAGTTTGAATCAAGTCCGAACGTTGGAATTTGATCAAAAGAAGCAGATATAACATCTACATAATCATCTAACTTGATAGATCCATCAGAATAAATATTATTGAAATTTATTTTTCCAGAAACAGCAGATGGAGTTGTAACATTGACAAAATAAATATCAGATGCAGTTCCTTCTCCTAAAAGAAGGCTTTCGTTGCATGAAATATTGATGAAAGACACATTAAACAATTCAATTGATTGTGATTGAATAAAACCAGTAGAAGAGACGTTATTAAAGACAGAATTAGATATATAAGATGATCCTGTATTCTTAATGAAGCCAAAACCAGAAGAAATCAATCCTGTGAGATTAATATTTGAAAATCTAGCATTCTGGGTATTTATATCAAGTAAAGTATCAGAAGTTAAACTTAAAGCGTTCTCTGTTGTTATCATTGATGAGTTAAATTCAAGATTTGTCGAATTAAGTTGTAAAATTATTCCCTGACCAGTTTGTGAGTAACATTCTCTAAAGCATGTTTGTGATAACAAGAAATCCGAGCAGTTTGCATATATTGTTCCTCTTGGGCCTTCGCTGTTGCACAATAAAAATGTAGAATACTTTATATTCAACGAAGAGTTGGCATTTAATGGTAAATAAACGATCGCAGATGGATTTGGTTTTGATGATTGAAGCTTAACAAATAAACAATCCGTAATATCAAGTGTATCCTGTGTTGAATTAATAAAATTGGGGCCTCTCAATCCGTCATACTGTGTAGCTGATACATCTAATGGCGTTTTTAAGAATAAACTAAACTTAGTTGATTCATAAAAAGAATTTTGAATGTATCCTTTTGCAAAAGAAGAAAAGAATCGATCAAAACTTGAACTTTTGACTTTTAGGTACTTCATGGAACTGGAAATGAATGGCGAATCATTGACATAGTTCTTCAATCGAAGACTAATCAGAGTTCTGTTGATCATTGAAATTTTGAAATAACGATATCTAAAATTTTTAATTCTGAGTTAATTCCGCTTGTCAAGAAAAAATATGAGCGAACTCGGTTTATTGTAAAATCAGAAAATAATGAGATCAAAATAAAATAAGGCATTTCAATTTGAATGAGATAAATTTTCACAATTTGTCAGAAAAAGATCCCCTCTGTTAAATTTTCTTAATTTTTTGATAAATTATTATTTGAAACAATAAGAAGATTAACTTTTGCTTTATTGGTGGATTTTTGGATGCATACTACACGCCCGTAATCTTCATCAATATCTTGTTTCTGATTTTTTAAATGGTTGAGATCCATGAAGTCATCGAAAGCGACCATCCTGAAATTTGCAATGATCATGTCTCTATGAAGATCGAAAATATTCAGGAAATTACTCAGAAATTGGAAAATATCGCTTATAGATTAACAAAACCTCAGTGGGTTGATACAGCATTAAATGATCTAATCTCAATAACTTATAATTGCAGCCACGAAACAATGATGATTTTATTCCAATCTCAAGCATTTTCTCGATTTGTTGATTTAATTTCTTCAGATTGTTCAGTAAAAGGACTTAAAGTTCTTGTAAACCTCACAAAGGATAATGATATAACCATGGGGCTCATTAAAATAGGCATAATCAACTTGATTTTTCAGGCAATTTTATCTCAATTCGATGAATTTATCGATTTATCGCTTAAAATCCTCACAAATGTAGTAAGTTCTACAAGGATAGCTCAAATATCTGTCTTATGCGTAGGAATTTTGACTACAGCAGAAAAATTTTACAATCAAAATCCATTGATTCGATTTCTGACAAAATTTGGACAATTAATCTATTTCCTATTCACAAAACTTAAAGAAAAAACAAATAACGAAGAACAAATAGATGAAGAAAATTTGAAAATAATATTTAACTCAATTCCTGATATTGACTGCGCGACTGCATTGTATACCTATCAGAATGGCGTTGATATCTTTTTTACAGATCATATTCTTCCAATTTTGTCAAAATTTTGGGAATCAAATTATAATGAAATTATTTATTTCTCTTTGAAGACGATAAACCTTTTTTTGGACACTGAGGAATTCTGTTCTGCTTTTATTTTTAACACAAACTTCTTACCAAATTCAATTTCGTTATTACAGCGTGAAGATCTAAAATTAACACAAATTGTTACTCATTTACTCAATCAAATCTTGTACAAACTCGAAGGCAACGTTTATCCTTATTATAAAGAATATAATATTTTCGAAATCACAATACAACTGTTAGAAATAACAGAAGACAAAAATATCTGTATTCAATGCTGTAATATTATATCAAATATGATTGTTTATGATCTAGAACTCGTTGAAAGATTAAATGAAAATCAATTTTTGGATAATTTTGTTAGAAATGCAATTCATTCATCAAAAAAGGTATCAACAGGCGCCGTATGGCTTGTTTCTAACTTAACAGATCAATATCCTGATCTTACAGTTCATTTTTTCGCTGATCAAGATTTTATTGAAATTTGTAACACAATTTTACAAGGTGATCCAAACACAGATTCTCTGGTCATATTAAAAGCTATTACAAAACTGTTTAGTACATCTTTTTTGAAAGATGAAAACTCAAAATCAAAATTTCTTGAATTAATTGATGTTTCAACAATTGAAGATCTTACTGAGATTGGATTACAGATAGGAGAGTATGCTAAGCAATGTCTTTCATTCATTAAAGGTGATGATGATGAATAATTTTTAATTTTCTTTTTTTTTCTTTTGTTTAAATAAATATACTATTTTATGACATGTATTACTTTTGATAGAAACATTTATAATATTATTGATCTGAAAAAGTTTTTAAAACAATATTAAGTTTTAATAAAAGATATATACAAAATGATATTCAAATCCTTTGGAGTAATCAACAGTTCTGTTAATCAATAAGATCTTTTGATGTATTCATATGATCATAACAATATTTTTTTTAATTTTATATTTTTTTGTCAGCAACAGCCATTTTTCTTCTTATTTTCTGTCAGAGAAAGAGTTTTAGAGCTTGTTTCTATAAGCGGTATGTATTCTTCTAGTGAACATTGTATCATTTCGTTTACTCCTTCTCCAGTAATAGCGCTTGTTTCAAAGTATTGAGCACCAATAGACAAAGCGTAATCTGTTGCCTGCACTTGAGAAATAACTCTGTCATCCAGATCAATTTTATTACCAACAATACTTAATAGAACACCATCGCCTGCTTCATTTCTAATGTCACTCACCCATGATTCGAGGTTATCAAATGATGTCTTTGAAGTTACATCAAACAAAATAAATGCAATTTTTGAGTCACGATAATACATTGGCGTTAAATTTCGATATAATTCTTGACCAGCCGTATCCCATAAAACTAGATTGTATTTTTTGTTGTTTAAGTCGATAGTTCGAGTAAAGAAAGATGCAGCAACTGTGGGTTTTGCTTCACCCTTTACTTCTCCCATGATATAATATAGAAGTAGAGTCGTTTTACCACAGTTGCTGTCCCCAGCGAAAATGATTTTTACATAATTATCCATATCTTTCTGAAATTTGTCAATTTTTTATAAGATCACAAAGTTTTATTCGTTTTTGCAAAAAAGCAATAAATGGTATGGTACAGCAAATACGAATTTCAAAAAAAGAATTCAAAATTATGAATGATCTTCTTGTTATTTTTGCCAGCTTAGTTCAATTTTTGAATTCAATATTCACTCACAAAAAAAAATCGCCGTTGATCTGATAATTTAAACAATGATCGGATGGAATCAGATATTATACATTAGCATGCGTATGGGCAATCTAATATATCATTAATCCAATTAGATTTTGAACAAATTAATCTGAAAACAAGTACATTTTGAGAAAATTAATTAGAATTAAAGATCTTTCCTATTTTCACAGTAGGAGAAGGTTATAGAGACATCGAATTCCTTTTCTTTTTCTCGTAATGATGACTTGTGAAACTGTGCTTTTGGTATCATAGAAATTAGTCAGATTTTTTTTTGCATTTCCGAAGAAAAACATTTTGTGATTCTGTACGTTTAAAAACACGACTCATAATTCATTCGATGCTAAAGTACTCACAAAATCTAGATTGAGAGGCGGTCAATGACTTTTGAGGGGAAATTAACGCATGGAATTTAATATTATTTAGGTTGATATTCTTGCTTATTATTTCAGAAAAAAATCTTAAAAATTTCAATATGAAAATTGAAAGCAATTCAAAAAATTGCTAACATGTAAATTTTAATATCCTAAGCATAATTTCATATTTTGAACATTTTTTATTTTTGTTTAAAACTTAAAATTTTGCGAATTTAATATAATTTATAAAATATAATAAGTATATATATTTAAAATACACTAAATTTAATTGTTAATTGACGTTTTTGGGAATGAATTTTATCAAAACATGCCTGAATCCGAAAATTTGAAAGAACGAATTACACAATCATATATGTAGAATTCAAAATACAAACTTAAAGATTGTATACGTTTAAAATTATTCAGATTGTGTTTGATTTCCACTCATTCTGTTTCTTTTGAAACTCTAACACTAACATTTCATGATGATTACATGATCCATTTATACATGGTTGAATTGTTCCAGATTCTACCAGAAAATCAATCCAAATTTCTCAATGCATTCATGTTGATTGGACAAAATTTAAAATTTATCAGCCTGTTTCCAGAGAAACTCATATATCCCTAATGAAATGTAATTTTTGCTACATTTATTTCAATCAAATTTCAAAAAATTGACTGCAGAGCTTGAAAAGGTGATGAATCATGTTGTTATTAGATGTACATATTAGATTTACTATTCCAAAAAAATGCTCAAATTGAATAGTTTTTAGAAAATTTGGAATTACACTCCTTACATTATATATAATTAAATGTTTAAATTTTATTTATTTTTCCCTTTTAATTTTATAACTTGCTCTATCAAAACTAACCTCTCAATTGAAGGCCACAAAATCTAAGTAGTGAGGGTACACAAATTTTGTATGGAGTACGGTTCAATTTTTGAGAGCCTCACTACTTAGATTTTGTGACTACCTTAGTTATTTCGAATGATAAAATTATCTAGTTCCCAAGACATCTTTATCAATACCATTATAAATTCAAAGAATTTTATCATCTATCCTGTCTTATTCCAGACTTTGAATTATGATGAGTTTTATATTAGGAAATTTTATACTCTATACATCGCAGTTTACATGTGTTCGGGAAATTTTTCTATCAGAATTTATGATGTGGAAAGAATCTTTATTCTTCTGCAAAATGAGTTTATTTATAATGTATATTTGTTTACAATTATGGCATAGTATTAACGGATTGGCCTCAAAATCTATAAAAGCCCAAAAATTTCATATTTAGGAATAATTATGGTAATTAAATAAGCAAGTAATAAATAAAATTTATTGTGTTTTCAGGAAGATAAAATCGTACTGTGAATCATCGAAAGTATTTTGTTTTGTAACAATTATGATTTAGAACAAATCTTGAAGATGATAACAGGAAACATACTTGAATAAAAAGAAAAAACACCATTTGTTGATTCTGGTACTTAGAATCCCTGTTTTAAGTTTTATTTGAATAGTTTTGGAAAATTGAAAGAACAAAATGACACCAAAATCAAATCAAAAGAAAATAGTTCCTAATTTGACTTCTACTCATAAATTTCATATTTATTTGGGAAGAAAAATTGAAAAGATATCTTTTTTACAAAAGATTGGCAGATTAGATATATAATTTAATAAATGATAATTATTGGAAGAATCACATATGATCTGAATTTTTGATGTGTTGTAACTTCAGATGAATATTACTACATATAAATATTTTTGAAAGGAAAGCACGTTGACGATAACCCAATCTTCTAACGTGCATTTTAAAATTTGGAAGAATTATTATACACACTGAAATGTTATAGAAAGAAAATAATGATCTCAGAAATCATTTGAACAGAATTTTTTTATTTCCACCGTGCTTTTTATTTATTTTGTAGAATTCGTCGCTAACTATAGTTTAATGGATTTTTCTTATTTGGAGAATTTGAATTGAAAGAATTTGATATTTTATTATCCTAAAAAATCCAATTTAAAATTTGAAAACAGATACATGTATCAAGCACGGTATTTTATTTTTTTCTGAATTGAGAAGTATTCAAATAAATAATTAACATCAAAAATAAATGCTTCTAATTCATTACACGTTTAATAATAATTAAATCTAAAATTTTCAGGCACGTTAAAGTTAAATTCTTAAGTTGGGTTTTATTGTCCTTCATAGAGTACTGATTAAAACTTATCACTTTGGAAATTGTTTCTACATGAATTTCAATTCAAGTGTCAAATAATGTAGATAATCATTCAAATTTGAGATCATTCAAATTTCATTTGCTTTATAAGGGATGAAGCCTACTGTTATTCAAGATGGTAAATATTACATCATATTTAGTACCTCCTCTTCGCGTCGCCACAACGACCAGCAGCTCAAAAGAATGAAACAAACTGGAGAAAGGATTCGAAATTGTGGACCATTATATTTTGAAGTCCAGAAGTATCTTTGGTCTTTGCCTCTGATGAATAAAGGCAAAGCAATGAAGCTTGCACAAGAAATATCAAGATTGATACATATCCACCTTGATAGGCAAGCAATAAGGCAAAAAGAGTCATTAATTTGCTGGTATTGTGAGAACTGGATCAAGGTTCGCTTCCTTATCGAACCCATTTACAATTTCCTTAGAATTCAGACACCAGATTCGAAACTTTTGAACCAAGTTCTTAATATCGAGTCACCAGCTCCAGCGGAGGATGTTGACAATTTTGAATTTAATGTGTTCGAAGATGATCAGATCAATGTATTCTGATTCTTTTATTGTTTTGTTAATTTACCTGTGTAAAGATATTTATTTCTTTTTTTACTACCAAAAATATTTAATACAGATGTTCTCATAATAAATCACGTGATATCACGCTTTAATATCCTATATTTATTTCATATTTGGAATGTTTTCAAATAATAATGGTTAATATCGGCCATTGTAATATTACTAATATTTGTTTCTTTCGAAAGGATCTAATGAACTATACAATACATCCATAAGCTACTTTCAACGTTCATTAAGGCTTCTCTCCGACCAAACGGTCTGTATCGGCTTTCATTTCACATTCTTTCTGGAGATGGGGATTTTGAGACCTCAAAAATAAAAAATTTCAAAAAAATACAACTTGGGTTCTTTTAAATGCTTGTGGGTAGGGCATTAATACTCCAGAGTATGAGGTCCGAAGTCGCTGTTTTTGCTCAAGATTAAATTGCATTATCCAAAATTTGACCGAAAGCATGTAACTTAAGCAGTATATTACGAAAATTCCTAGAGAATATATTCAAACCTATTAATTTATTTTGTATTCCGAAACCAATAAGACGCTATATTTTTAAAAATTAGATTCAAAAGAATAGATGAAAAAATAAACAGTACCAATTCAAAAGAATGTTACAAACAAATATTTATTCAATATAAAAAGTATAATTACTTGAAATTAAATTTCAAATTTTTCAAATACTAATAAAGTTGGCCTATGATCTTCTAATTGAATGCTGCAAACAGATTCAAAATCTGTAATGCGAATATTTTTTGCATCATCTAGATATACATATACATCTTCTTCATCATTTTCGAATCTAATATAAGGAACATAGTGATGTCCTATTTCGTATGATAAGCTATCTGACATAAGAAATGCTATAATTTACTTTATTATGATTTTCTTATTTGATATAAAAACATTATTTGCCAAAACATTTATTATAGGCTTTTATGAATTTCATAATAGAAATTAAACTTGAAAAGTCAACGATCCCTATATCAGTTTAATCAAATTTAGACTTTTTCTTATCAGTATATATTTTCATGATGATAAACTAAATTCTTTCAGAATAACAGGTGTTACCTCGAAAAATACCTAATTGAAATACTTTTAATCAAAAATTCATCAACAAATTAAATTATGAAGATTATCAAGTGAAAAACTTTTAATTGATCCTAAATTTGCATACCATACTTCCAATTAAAACATTTGCAATCACTCTTTTTTCAAATTATAATGCCGGTTTTTTCATGCAAAATGAAAAAAAGAAGAGTAGATTATGCTTATTCAATTAATAAGGATTATGAATATAGCATCAGAGTTTTAAAAAAGTCACTTCACCACCCTTCGGAGACCTCGTACAAAATCGAAAAAATTTAGACCAAAATCTACTTTTTCGACATAAAATGTATGTAATTTAGAGGTGGGAGTAAGCGCAATGATGAACACATGATTAGTAGAATCATATTATCCAAAGTTGAAAAAAACTTGTTTTAGACGAAAAATGCGGAATAATTTCAAATTCTTTTAATTTTAGGATTTTTTAAAAAATAACCTTTGTTATAATATCTGCAAAGATCAAGCAATGATATCATATAGGTAATGTCCCATGAAACTGACTGCATGAGGAGCTTGGTACCTTAAGATCATGGAAAAATTGAGAGGATCAGTTCACATCGGAGAGAAGCCTTAAAATGTTCTCAAACTTTAATCAATACAGTTATTTTATGCAATTGCATAATCAATTTATCTATTCCAATAGTTATCGAATGCTAATCAGCTTGAATTTATTTATCAAACCTTCATTGAATTATATTTTGGGCCAATGAGTGAAAATCCAAGATCGCCCATCAAAAAATTTAGTGCTCCATGTGCATTTTTAATGCACGCTCCATAAATTTACTTTAGGATTTTATTCAGGCTGATGCTCTGGTTAAAGGCAAAGTTACATCTCTTTTACGCATACTATTTTGGAATTATATACTAAATAAATTATTCAAACTAGAAGAGAATTTGTTTTTATTCTTACATAACATTAAATTTTCCAGTATTTTCTGAGTTTTTGTACGAACTCCTCTGTAACATCATCGATAGGTTGGTTAGAATTAACAATGAAAACCTTACCTTCTTTTGTGTATTTTTCTAAAACTGGTTGTGTTTGCTTCTTGTAGACAGTGATTCTGTTTGGAATGCATTCTGCACGGTCGTCAGCACGTCCAGATGTCTTGCCTCTTTCGGAGCAGCGGGCAATTAATACTTCATCTGGTGCATCAAGAAGAGCTACTGCAGTACATGGTGGGAAAACCTTCTCGAATGCTTCAGCTTGTTCGATTGAACGTGGAAATCCATCCATTAAGAAGTATTCCTTGTCGGATGATTCAATTACGTTCTTGATTGTTTGGCAGATAAGTTCTGGTGGAACTAACTGACCAGAGTTAATGATTTCAGCAACCTTTCTTCCAATTTCAGTATCTGTCTTCTTGGCAACTTCTCTAAGAATGTCGCCTGCAGCAGCATATCCAATTCCATACTTCTGGGCTATACGTGTAGCTTGTGTACCTTTGCCGCAGCCAGGACCGCCAAGAACGAAGATTACTTGTTTTGAAGACATGGCCACAATTGAAACAAAATTTTCTGATCGCAAACGATTGAAATTTATTTTTTTGAGAGGAAATAAATTTTAGGTAAAAGTGACAATACAAAAAAACTTGATATTACTTTGATTCTGAATGAGGGTTTTGAGAGCTTTGAGAATCCCCAACCATTTTCAAGGGACATTGGATTGTAGTCATATTCTCTTTCATCTTTTTTTTTCTTTATTTATAAAAAAGTTTAATTTTCATTTATATAGGGGATATGAAAAATTTTGAGGCACAAAACATTAATGTGTACATCATAGTCTTTCATATCCACTAGAAAATGTATGCTAATAACTATCTCTAAATGACTGAACGAAATTTACTTTTTCCTTCGATAAATATCCATTCTGCAAAGCTAAAATATGTATGCTAAATGATAACTATACTATCATCAATCAAATCAATTTCATTACTACTGTATTATATGACATTTTAAAATTTTTCAAGGATCTTTTTGTAAAACATATGCATAGGATCATTTTTTGGATTCACACAATTATAAGTCTCTACTATCGTCGAGATAAATTACTCCCAAATGTCGACAAAATTTCCATTGGTGTGATAAAGTATTTAATATTTTCTATCTCCACCATACACTTGCGTTTGAAGCGCATTCACATGGTTACTTAAGATTTTACTAAATTGTACCTGTTATTTAGTTTTGAAATTTTCTTCTCTCGCTTTTTTACCTCAAAGATTAGAGGGAGCTAATGCATTAGACATAAAAAGAGGTGACCATTAATAGATCGATGTCCTCTTTTGTAAATCTTCGTCAGAAAAATAAAATTTATCAATTTTTTTTTAAAACATAATTTTTAAGACAAACTATATATCGAAGTCATCAAAAACATCTTCGTTATAATAATTAGGTTGTTCAAGAAGCCAGCTATCATGATTGTTTGATGAATTCGAGGAATTCTCATTAATCACAATGTCAATATTAATTCCATTTATATCTTCATTTTTTTCTTGTAATGTATTGCTTGGAGGTGAAATATATTGTTGTAGATTATCAATTGAAAGAGAAGTTGGTGTATTTCTATCTCTAAATCTTACAGTCCATTGTCGAAGTTCGACAAGATTGCCACGGAGAAACGGAATGCCATTTAATAGCTCATCACACATGCTTGATTTGTAATCAACGTTAGGGTAACCAATAGCTTTAAGTGAGCCATTTATTGATGACTTGCACTTGTAAATTAACTGTTTTAGTGCTGATATTTTAATAGCAATACCTTTATCGAAAATGAAGACGCCGCAAACGAGGCATCTCTTCCATTTATCAGCTTGATCATGATTTTCATACAATTCAATGGCTTCAAGAATCTCCCGGAATTCATCTGCTCTTTTATTTTTCTTATTCTTATTTGAAGGAGCTGTAATGGCCTGCCTGATGCGATCATATGTCATTTTATCAGTATCAGATAGTAAATTATAGTATGCTGGCTTGTCAGATGAACCTGAGACTTTCATGATTGATGAGCCAAATTAATGTCAAAAATTTGAATCCGATAACTTTTTGGATAATCCGATAACTCATTAATTCAATTAGAATTGATGTTTAGAATAAGAAAAACAATTATTTTATTCCATTTTCAAAATTGAATTAATATTCAAACTTATGATACGCAAAAAAATATGTATTTGTTTCATGATCGGCTGTGATAAAATCATAAAATTCAACTCAATATTTCATTTATGAATTTCAAAGAATAATTCTCCGAAATGCATGAACAATTGTAGCATAATATATAAATTGCTCATCAGTAAATTTTGACGAGGAATTGTGTCGGTTCTCAAAAATTCAAATAATTGAAAAATTTTTAAATAAAATTTGGAACCAAACGAATTTATTGTAGCTTCTATGTAACTGCTTAAACATGTTCTAACGTATTTTATATTGATAATTGACCAAACCTCCCTTATCGTATTACATTCTATCTTCTTCTGGAACTACGCAGCTTTTGATCGAATTTCAGTCATTTTTGTATAAAGATAAGAATTTGCATTGCATATCTACTCATTACAAATTAGTTTTTCATTAATTTGCATTAAAAATTAAAAAATATTTGAGAAAATTCAAACTCCCTGCATTAATTTACGTTTAATTGTTATTGATAGATAGAAATTTATTTTGAAATATATTCTCATTAATGAATTGTTCAAAATTATGATTCAATTTCCATTAATATCAAATTGAAATAGATCTAGGTGAAAGGATGATTAAAGGAAAATATTAAATTCTACTATACTTTGTTTAATAAAAATAATTAATAATAAATAATAAATAATTATAAGAGAAATCAATCTCACTTTTCTACAAGCCAACTTATAATAAGGTAGCTGACTTATTTTCTATTGAAAACTTTTTGCCGCTTCTGGTTAACAGTAAAAAAACCAAAAGAACAATACTTATAAGAATTAAAATTGCATCTAAGCACCAGATACATATTTCTCTAGTTTGTGAGATCGTTACGAATTGAGAAATCTTCTTTTCATTATATATCTGACGAAGAACTGTTGAAAGACGATATCCTGCAAGTGAAACTCTATTAAGAGCTACTGATTGACATGTCTTCAGATATTGATCAGTTACTTCGCCATATCTTTCGATGGCAGGTGAATATCCGTATTGTTTAACTGTATCATATGACTCATTTGACCACTTCATAAAATCTATCGTTTCCAAATCTCCCATTTTAGCTTTTTGATGGTTTTTCATGATTTTTGTGACATTTTCTGAAAATTCATCTAAATATTTTGGAATTAAAGGATTTCCTAGAGGAAGAGCAAGGCAGGCAGAATCCCAAAGGAAGTGTATGTTCATGCAAGCGCTGCCATAATTACAAATAATTTGATATAAGTTTCCTCCTTTGTCGCCATCTGGAGTTTCTTGGCTGTAATAACCAACGTTGTGATGTGGTGTGTGAACGTCTGCAACAAAATGAATTAACGAACGAAGATGAAATGCAATTATCCATGGATCTGTCGTAGCTGGGTTAGTTAATGAATTCCATGCGCTATTCATATATGATGTAATGTTATACGTAACTGGTTGAAGGGTAGCAGTGTATCCATCTTTAATTAAAGGACGTGGAGTAAAGTGCCAGCTACTCATAATGCCCAAATCGTAAGCTCCTTTCAAATCATCTTGCCAAACAGCAACTTCTTCAATGGTTGCTCTTTTATGTTGACCATATTCTAAAAATTTCTCAAGGATTTTCCTTTCTTTTGACGAAAAATCCTTCATCGCTATGCTTGCTATCAATGAGTGTGCGTGACCCCACCAACAATTTGATAATTGGAATAAGAAAAACATATGAAATAACTCTTACGATTTTTAAGGTTATTTTCAAATGAAAGAAGATTTTAAATTGATATAAACAGATTAGTTTATAGGCGCATAACAGGAACATCTTTCACATCTTGAATAACTATGATTATGCGCATATAGTATATGATATATTCCAGAAAATTAAAAAATCATATGAATCTATGATTTCATAGAAAATTAGGAAGGTAGATGCATACAATACTGGTTGTATTTACATATAGATGGAAACACTTGTAAAATCTCTCATTGAAAGTTGTAATTAACTACTTCATTTGGAAATACTTCACTAAATCATTCATTAAAGAATGTAAAACTTGATGTTGTCAAAATACCTTATCTCTGTTGGAGACGATAAAGATGTACAGAGTATTGTTGATTGGACTCCACTCATTCATGCATCACATAATGCAGTTGTTAAAATTTTATTTCTATCGGAGCTGAAAAAGAAGCAAATGATAATGCTGGATATACTCCACTCATTGAAGCATCAACTAATTGCTATCTTGAAGTTGTTCAATATTTTATCTCTGTTGGAGCTGATAAAGATGCAAAGAATAATGCTGGAATGACTCCACTTATTATAGCATCATTAAAAGGTCATCTCGGAGTTGTTCAATATCTTATCTCAGTTGGATTGGATAAAGATGCATCAGATGATAATGAAACATGCTTCGATCATGAGAATAGTAAAATAAGAAGTTACCTTTCTTCAAAATGACTTTCTTTAGTTGTTTCTTCCTTAGCATATAAATGTTATCTTCTATACAAGTGAGTATTGGTAAATTTGAGCAAAAATTTTTTCTGATTTGAAAAAATTTGATATGAAATATATGTTTTTGGAAATTATATCTTTAAAAATAAAATCTACCACATTAAGATTCTCAAATGCCGAATCCACGCTAGTATCAGAAGATCCTTCGTAAATTATCGGAATATAAAATTTTTCTATAAAAATAATTTTTTTTCAAAAAAAAATGCATCGTACGCCAGTAGTATTTATTCGATTAAATCAGATTTCTAACGTTAATGCACCATCCCAAAACAATCAAATGTTCAGTCTTATCGTTAAACTTCTTCCAAATACAAGAGAAGATCATACTGAATTGCATGGTACAAGAAATCTTATAACAGACATTACATGGTCTTTTCCTATGACAAATATCAACGTAGAACAGATTTCGCTGACCCTAAAGATGAATTCAAATAATGCAGATGTTGCCAAGCTTACACTTCCATTAAAATGGTTCCGACCGGATACAGTTGTTCGAGAAGTATATCCAATGCGAGGTATCTTGCAAACAGCACCTCAAATTATGGCAGATTTAGATGTTCATATTTCTGCCAAAGGGGAACTCCCATTTACAGCACCACCAGCATCTTTAGCAGTCATTCCAGCATGGAGATCTGCTCAGCCAATTAACGTTAATCCACAGCAAGCCTACGCAAACGTTCCGATTTCAGGTCCAGGATGGGCGAATCCATTTGAACCACAACCAGATCACGTACCACCAGCACCAGTTATACCAAACACCCCTCAGGGCAACAAGCTCATCAAGAGAACAAATCTCATTCAACAAGTTCGTCCTGCTCCAAATCCATACTTACAAAATGACCAGCCACAACATCAAAGTATGGGTCCGCCACTTATTGCTGCTGGCCCTACGATGCCTCCGCCTACATTTCTCATTCCACCACAACCACAGCAGCCAAAGATCGTAGAAGTCAGAGAAGATCCAACAGATCGCACTCATGATCTCCAGAAGACCATTCTCGAAAAGAGAAAACAGCGTCTTCAGCAAGAAAATTCAGATAATGAAAATGATGACGAAGAAGAGTTCACTTATGAATACGAAGAATCAGAAGTTGAAGAAGAAATCGAACAAGAACCTCAACAACAAGAACAGCAATCTCTTCAACAATTTAATCAACAATCTCAGCCTCAACAGCAACCGCAATATCAATACCAATATCCACAAATGCCACAACCACAGGTTATCTACTTACAACCAGGCCAACAGCCTCCTCAACCTCAATATGTTTATTATCAACCACCTCCGCCTCAAAACCAAGCTCCTAACCAACAACAACCACAACCACAATACGTATACGTTCAGGCGCCTCCTCCTCAGCAAGTTCCAATGCAAATACAGAATCAATCCGGCCAACCACAGTTTGTTTACATGCAACCGCCACCGCAACCACAATACGTTTACATGCAACCCGGTGGGCAACCTCAGCAAGTCATTTATTTGCAACCAGGCCAAGTTCCATTTAATCCTCAGCAAAATCCTTCATATCAAGCTCCACAACCAACACAGCAACCTGCTTTCCAGCCCAGACCAGCTGATGCGCCTGCTAGAATTGTTACACATCATCCTCCTCAGTCACAATTTCAAATGAGGCCTCCCCCTCCACAAAGAACCGAAAATACAGCTATGATTAAGGAAAATACGGCTGCTCCAGTAACAGATTTAGGTGTTCCTGCAGAAGGAGACGTCGTAGCTGAGTCTGTTTCAGGAGGAATGCCTCAGAACGGAAAACTCGACGACAACTTGCAGAGTTTAGATATGGATAAGGCTAAAAAGTCTCATAAGAGTCTTGGAGAGATCAAAGAAGGACTTTTGGCAGATAAATAATTATGATTTAGATTTTTTTTATTTGATAGTAAAATTCGTTATTTGATATAATCAATTTTACACGAATCTAATTAAAGTAAATTCATTTTCAAAAACTTTATTACGAATTCACTTTTTTTCAGTGAGATTCTCTCATTTTTCTATGAGCATAGGTTACAAAGACTCAAACAATGAAAATAAGTTTAACATATTAAATAGAATCTCATTATGTTAAATTTTTAATTATGTTTGCGTTAGGATAAAAAACAAATATCAAATCATAATTTAACACATCAGAAAAATACTAGTTCATTTCTTCCATTTCTTTCTTCTTTTCTCTATTTGCAGACATTTCAAATTTCTTCTTGAAATCATTGAAACTTACATTATTGACATGCCCAGAGTAAGCGTTAACAACCTGTTGAGAAATATCAAGAACATTTGGCATCAAAGTCTTATTCTTTCCAGACTTAACATAATCTAAATATAAATGAAAAACCAAATCATCTGGTTTTGGAAAATCATTGATTCTCTTTGCAGTTTTGTAGTTGATCTTTGTCCATGGAACAATGACTTCGTTTGTCTTCTTCAATTCACTGAAAGGTTGACATTCATTTACAAATGGTCTGAACGTTCAAATGGAACAAATTTGTAATCTTTCCATTCATTATATTCTTGTTTCCCAATCTGAGGAATAATTGTTGAATCACTGTTCCAATACATCGATTCACCATATGTAGAGTATGAATCATCAATAGCAAAGACTCGTGAAATGTTTGGATCATAAACCTTAACGTGATTCATTTGAAATAATAAAAAATGAAACGAAAAATTTCAATTTCAAAACACATGTAAATTTGACCAAAAAAAGTCGTTATTGTATTTTTATGATTAAACTTAGACAAAATCAGAAACATGCAAGATTACAAGAAAAGATATTTATTTGGAAGGTGAAAAAAATTCAAAGCATTTGTAAAGTTATACGACAAATTAATGAGTCAATCGCTGATTCAGGACTTTGAATATATCGCGGCCCATATCAAAGATTATATTGATGATGATAAGTTATTTACTACATTTGAAATAGAGGATATCGAAAAAATCATGAAATTTGCAAACTTGACAACAAATGACTTCATTACTCTTCTGAAACAATCACAGTCTGTAATCAAATCAAACAAATTATATATTGGTATTCGAAATGCAAATGTTTCTATACAAAATTATGAAGAAGTCGTCAATCTTCTGAAGTATTCTAAAAAATATCTTAAATTGACATTTCTTGATGGAGTTATTGATTTCTTAATACAAATGGCAAAAACACAATCCGATTATGCAAAGAAAATCAAATCTCTTCAAGCCGAGTTAAAAACAATTCAAAACCAAAAACAAAAAAGTGAGAAAGAGATTGAACCACTTAAACAGCAGAGAATTTCAGGTATGAGAAAATTCTTAGAACAAATGCGCAGCTTAAACGATGAGGAAAATATTTTATCAAAAATTTCAGAACTTAAAAGTTCTAATGATTTTGAAAGCATTTACAATTTCTTTGAAGAACTTTCATCTCAAGGGAATCAAAAAATGATTTCAAAAGCATGTGAAGAAGGTCTTTGGTTAAAGGAAGTTCTTAAAAGCAAAAATTCTAATAAGGAAAAGAATATACTTCATGCGGCATGCGAAAAAGGAAATCTTTCACTTGTAAAATCTCTAATTGAAAGTGGTTGTGATAAAGGATCACTTCCTTATTATAAAAATACTTCACTCATTTATGCATCAGAAAATGGCCAACTTGAAGTTGTTGAATATCTTATCTCTGCTGGAGCTTATGCAGAGGCAAAGAATAATTATTTCTCTACTCCACTTATTAAAGCTTCATCTAATGGTCATCTTGAAGTAGTTAAATATCTTATCTCTGTTGGAGTTAATAAAGAAGCCAGAGATATAGGAGGAGAAACTGCACTCATTAAAGCATCTAAAAATGGAAAATTTGAAGTTGTTAAATATCTGATCTCTGTTGGAGCTAATAAAAATGCAAATAATAATAACGGAGAAACTGCACTCATTTTGGCAAAAGAAAATGTAAGAGATTATTTGATTTCTATTGGTGCTAAATAATCAATATTAATAAATTACATAATTCTTTATTTATTTCTTTAATAAACAACAAAAATTAACAAAAATTATTGAATTTCTTATTTCTCATGGTGTAGATATTCAAGAAAAAGATGTAGATGGATCCGCAGCTCTTATATTTGCTATAGGAAATAATTATATTGAAATAATGGAACCTCTTGTTGATTGATATCAAATATATTTTGTAAACTCAATTAAGCTTGCAATTTCTATTACAATATTTTATGATTTATTTCGAATTCAAATCTTGGAAATTTAATAATATCCACTAAATTTTTATGATATCCCCCCTATCTAAATTAAACAATTTATGCTTTTTCCTTTTTTTTCATTGCACATTGCTTCAAAGCCATTAAAGAGGCAATTCCCTTTTTATCCCACTCTGAAGGAAGAATGTGATACCGGAGATCCTTGCATTGTTGATTATTTTTCATTAGAAACTGTAGATAAAAGGTCCTTTTCTTATCCTATAATAAAAAAGTGTGTCAAGGGATATTTAGAAAATAAAAATCACTCAAATTGTATCACTCGTTTACAAAGTCACGCTGAAAATAATGGAGATGCAGCATTTATACTCGGAAATATATACGAATTCGGTCTTATGGGTGTCAAACCCAATGATAAAACAGCTCGCCATTTTTATTCTTTAGGAACACATCTTGGACATGCTGAATGCCAATATTCTCTTTCGTTTATGCAGCGCTATGGCCTTGGCGGTTCTAAAGATGTATTGCAATCATATATGCTCCTCAAAGCCGCTTCTTTGGCCGGATCAATACCTGCAATTATTACAGAATCTTTTCTTGATTTCTATGGATTTAATCGCCCAAAGTCATGCTATGCGGCATATGAAAAATTAAATCCAATTATGCAAATAATGATGAAAAATCTTACACACGATCGATTACGCGATAGTTTAGGCGTTACAAGAATTTATCCAAGCATGATTCGGCTATTTACCAGGCTTAGCAATAACTTTAAGAAGACATTAAAGGAAGCCAATGCGGATAATCCTAAAGCCCTTATCGAAGCTGGCAAATATTACTTGTGGACAGAAAAAAATTATTCTTATGCAGAAGAAATCTTTAAGAAGGCAGCAGATCTCGGCGTTTCGGAAGCAAATCACTACCTAGGCCTTATCTATCGTTACGGATATGGTCATGACGTTGATAATTACATGGCCGAAATTTATTTCAAGAAATCGATTCAAGGAGGTATATCTTCATCTCAAGTTGAACTTTCTAAGATGATGATCAAAGAAGGAACCAATTTCGAAACAGGTTTTGCGTATCTAAAAGTATTATCTCATATTGACTGCGACGCAGCTTACAATTACCACCTTCTTGCACTTGGTATGACCGAGATAGAACCAAAGAACACATCAAAGTTCCTCTTCGACATTTACAATGTAACGAATCGTTGTGCAAATCTTCCCCATATTCCTTCTATCTATTTGTCGGCAGCGTACACCGTGGAAGGTGTAAATTTCAAGCCAGATTGCAAGCGCGGCTTCTACAAAATGTTCCTTGCCGCTGAATTGTCTCCATTTTTCGACATGGCCCGAACAGCATTCAATTTTTACATGAAAAGTGACACAAATTACTCGTTACGATTATATCAGAAGATTGCTGACTGGGGCAGTGAAGCCGCCATGGGCAATGTGAAGATCATACTAGATGACAGGAAGGAGGATGCAACAGACTGGGTAGAGATGCTCCAGAAACTAAAATTCCCCGACGCAATTTTGGTCAAAGCGAAAAATAACTTGAAAAATGGAAATGCCGTAAAAGGTGAAAAAGAACTGAACAAAGCCGCCGAAAATAGTAATGCTGCAAAGTACGAAGCTGCTAAATATTATTTCCGCTCTGATCCTGCTCGTTCTTTGCATTATTTGAGAGATCTTTATCAAAGTAATCCTTCATCTTTCTTCGCTGTTTTGTATCTTTCAGTTTTGATTTTGTTGAGAAATGTACCAATCGGTTTATTTACTTTTATCAACGGAGCAAATACAAAAGAGGCGGAAGTTGTTTGGGTGATTATTCAGAACTACGCTGTGGATGTATTACTATGCATTTCATTCGTAACATTCTCTTTCTTTTTGAGGAAAAGAATCCAATTGATTATTGAACAGAAATGATTGTAATCTTTTTATTTATATATTTTATATTGTGTTATAATTAAATAAGAAAATATATATATACCAAATAAGGTCGCCAAAAAAAGTGCGGAAATTAAAAACCGCAGTTTGAGTACTTTCTGAGAGTCTGTTTGTCAGAAAGTATACATTTCTAAACTTTCTGACACAAATTTTTTTGGTCCTTTCAAAGTTTTTGACAATGTCAAAAAGTAAACACCGGGGCTCTCAATTTTCCTCTCAAACGGCGGTTTTTTAAAAACGCTCAATTTTTCATCGACCTTATAGAGAAAATTTTTCCATTTTAAAATCCAATTGATGTTAGGTTTTATTTTCAGTGCCTCTTCGCACATGTATTTCTGAAAATTTTTGCGAGAACTGACTTAAGGGTCGAGCCGAGTAAGTCAGTTCACTTCTTATTCAAAGCTATTATAATTCTGATTCTTAATAGTACGTACAATCACTGTCCTATATAAGGTAATCTGACTATATCTGAAATCAAATTCAAATCTAAAATCAAATTCAAAGAGGAAAATAGAACAATACACACAATTCTCTGACCAGAAGTAACCATGAAAATCAGCCTTAATCACCAAATATGAATGCAATGTATTATTAAACAATATAATGATTATTCTTGGAATTAATTTTTAAAAATGAGTTTGTATCTCAGAACCGTGGAACAACCTATAGATTAACAATGGTGATAAATATAAAGAGTTTTATTTCAGTTACATAGCGATAAGTTTATCATTTAATTATAACAAAACCAAGTAAAGAGCACCTAATATTGAAAATCTCATAAAATAAGTGCATTGGAAACTTTCTTTTGGTAGAGGATTGAAATGAATAATGGAACGATCTTTAAGAGTCATAGAAAGTTTCAATTGTAAAGATGACAAATTTTTATTTTGAATATAGACATATTCTAATTCATTCATATTATAAAACTGAAATCCTATTCTCTTCACATTCTGATGTATAAAAATAATTTTTATTAGAGTACTAGAGCAAAATGCATTATCTTCAATGTATTCGAGTGCGGGACAAATTTGCCAAGTGTCACTTTTTCAATAACCTTAAATTACGCTTTTGAGGCTCCCTTTCGTAATGATTGGGAGCCTTGGGGCTCCTGCAGCAGAGTATCGCTCCGCTCCATTAATTTTTTTTAAAAAAAGTGCCGTGTGGCAAATTTGTCCTGTTCCCAATGTATTCAACAAAATTTGGAACAATAGCATATGTTTCTCCATGATTTCCAGGATAAATAACCAAAGATTTCAAATTTTTTGAGAAAACAATTCCATCAATATCTCTAAAATATTGATTATCTTTATGCACATAAATAGCTTTCACATAAGCAGAGTTATCAAAAGGATTATTTATTAAAGAATATACATTTTTTGGAATTGTAAAATATTCAACTTTAGTTCCTGCAATTAACTCATCATCCAATATTTTCATTTTATCATCAAATGTAATATTTGTTAAGTGAGAATATGAAGCTAGTGCATTTTTTGCTGTTGAGGTAAATCCTTGAAAATATAATTTGATTGCATTCGTATTTTCAGTTAGAACGGGAAGCTTGCCCGAGCCTGTTACTATATAACAATTTGCCTCATCACAATTTTCAAATCTCGGGCTAGAAATGCCTTAAATTAATTAAAATAAAAATCCTCATGATTAAATAAAAAGTGACAAAATAAAAAACAAAATAAATGAACAGAGGGAAAAGTTGATTGCTCATTTACTACTTTCTGACATCCTCTCAAAAAGAGGAATACAGTAAATTTAAGAGGGTGCCCGAATGAATTAATGGTGCACTTACCACTTTCTGACATTCTCTCAATTTATTTGACACTCAAGCTTTCTAACCCAATATTCTAAGGTCAAAAGTTAATATTTTTGGTCAGGAGAAAATAAATATGAGTCACTATATAGTACCTAATATGACTATTATACTTTTCTGCTATTAAAATAAAGATATATTGATTTTTTGCATAGCATGTCAGAAAGTGGTACGTGCAGCCTTAAAAAAAAGTTGAAAATATATATATATTTTTACACACCAAAAGATCCTGATATTTTGTTGCATGAAATTGCCAAATCAGACACAGCTACGACGAACAAAGGAAGAACTCTTGCAATTTCCTGACTTGTTCCAGACATCAAATAAGAAATTCCGTAAACAACGCAACAAAAAGCAACAACAAGAGGAAATGTAACAAGTGCTGTTGCATAGTTAGGTAACATGTCAAGAGATCTGTTCAATACCTTGAAAAACCTCTTTCCGTGGTCGAAATTCCTTGTTTTGTCAAATTCTGTCAAATATTTGTAGGGATCGTTTAAAATCAGTCTAAGTCCTGGTTTTGTCATCAAGAAAAGGAATATAGAGATCAGAAGCTGTAGGGATAAGTAAGATATGTCAGCAATCATGTCTAAACGTGGAATATGAACTAAATACCAACGTGCAGCGATGAATGAAATTGTAAGGAACGGTGTGAGCCTGTGGATAGATTTAAAGATGGTTCTGTAGAAGGGCTTGTAAAGATTATATGCTTCTTGACATAGTTGCCATCTGAAGATGTCGTAATTAAGAGTTATCAAAGATCTGTAAATTTGGTGCAATTTAAGGCATGGATAGTAAAGCGAGTATGCAATATATGTTGCGATGAGTGAGGTAATGACATTGACAAGCCTTGCTGGAATTGAAATTTGAGATAATATCAGTGGTCGGATGTCAAAAGGTCCTAAACTGAGATATGAGATGACGACGAAAAAGATAAGCCCAAAAACAAAGGCAAATATCAATCCAGTCTTTCTGTTTATTGAGCTGTTCGATGCTGTCGCGGCTCCGAAGTAAAGAATGACAATAATCGAACAAATATCAAAGTAGATTGTGTTATTGATCATGCTTGGTTTGACGCAGCAGCAAATTGCAAGAGAAATCATTGCGCTGAGGAAAATTGCTAAAATTGAATTGATTAATTTAATATTATACATATAATTAATTACTCTTTGTGATATGGAAGATATTGGAATACGAATTGGTGGTGGATTTTCTGTTGTTTTGGTTTGCTTGTTTCCAATTGAAAATTCTTTAAGTAAATCGTTTGTAAATTGAGCAAATTTAAGATCTGTAAAAAGGTAACTACTTAATGGAGCTTTCATGCGTATAATCAATAGATAGCATGCAATAAATATGAAAAAAGATTCAAAAGTTAAATCCATATGAAATAAAAAAGTGACAAATATGATGAATCATCCAATATTTATTATGCTAATAGATATAAAGGAATACAATCACCATACATTTGTAAATGTTTTTATTACTATTAAACATACTTAGAACATAAAATTAAAAGAATCATCACAAATATGATGTTAATCCTAGCCAAATACATAATGAAGGAAATACAATATATTTCTCATATAGAGCCGTCAAAAAACTGCTTAAAATAGCTATATTTACCAGTAAATTGAATCAATAATTGGAAGTCCAGAGAATGTATTACTCACATTACTTATAACATCAGAATGACAATGATATGTAGTCAGAAATCTTCATTTGTCAGCGGTATTGAGTGCTGTTTTTGCATAATCTTAGATTCCCATACATTCACTCACATTACTTATAACATCAGAATGAGATGAAGACAGAGCAATTTCTTTCCATTTATTATTTCCTATATATTGTATCTCTGTTTATTTCCCTTCGCTTCAAAAGTGACATCAATACATCTGAAATCCTGACACTTTTGCAACATGGATGAGTTTGATGTGCATCCTCTTCAAAATGAATGGACATTTTGGATCATCCAAGTCAAAAGAGTTGGTGCAGGTGTACAGTACGATATAGAACCAGTAATAACGTTCGCTACAATTGAAGCGTTTTGGAATGCATTTTTACAGTTCCCAAAGCTTAGTGGAATAAAGCAAGGCGGCATTGCCTTATTTAAAGCTGGTATCAAGCCAGCTTGGGAAGATCCAGGAAATCTTGGCGGTCAAGCCTGGGCAATATATCCAGAAGAATTCACACAGAAAGATTGGCAGGATGTTTTAGTAAAGATCATAAGCGGATCGTTTGAACAGACATTAGGCGACCATGCCCCAGGACTTTGCGGATTTACAGCTCAGAAAAAGCAGAATGGATCGCTCTCAACAGAAATCTGGTTTGGACCAGGTGTCTGCGAAGAACTTACAGTACAAAAAGCTATTGGAATTAAAGGAAAATCTCCTGTTCTCAAACCTCATCCAAAGATTGCTCAATAATCGCTTTGTACTTCCTTGTTTAGTAAGATATTTAATAATTGTTTCCAAACTCTCTTATAAATCTATATTTATATATTTTTATATACGAAATTCCAAAATCTATAAAAATGAGCAAGAGCCATATCAACTATATATACATTGAGCTATAAGGATTGAAATAGTTAATTGATTTTTGAAAAAAATTAAATTAAAATTTCTTATTGATCAATTTATGAACAATTGAGATATTTTTTTAATGATATTGCTTTTAGAATCAAAATTTCAATTTTAAATACAATATCTATCACAATCAATATGCTCCATTTGGACAATCAAAAGCTGATTGCAGACAAAAGCGGCCGACAATATGACATATTCCACTACCTGTCGGATACCATTGTCTCCAGATAATTTCTAAGTGCATGATGCTCCTCATGGGTCAAATCAGAATTGCAGAATTGAAGTTTATTTACTGATATTATACTGTATATAGATTTTTTGATTACATTTCTAAGTCAGAAATGAAGAAATTCTACAAATAATTGTGAAAATACAAGGAATTAATTTCATAATTTAAAATTGCTGACTTCAACAACGAGTTTAGAAATTATTGGCTGAGATAAGTTTACCTTACTACCACTGGTAGAAATTCATCCAATATTACCAGAGTTTACAAAGAATATCCACACAGAAAAATGTTCACAAAATAAAAAAGTCATTGTAGCATTGAGATGTGGACAATCAAACAAGAAACAACTGCTGGTACATCAAAATCGGGCATCAACTTCTTTGAACCAATAACACTTGAATAACTGCTAAACGCAAGTTCAATGGTGCTAAGTTTTCCCCTTCTTTCCATGTAAAATTTTCATCCCCGAAGTAAAAATTGAAAATTGAAAATCTTTGATGTAAAAAAAGTTTTATTGTATTTACTAACGATTTATCAAGTTTTTACAAAATAACGAATCCTGCCTGTAAAAAAGTGCTCAATTGTAAATAAAAAATGTACAATACCCAGCCTGTTTGCAAGCCGAGGCTGGATGTTGCTGAAAAAGCACGTGCTTATGATAGACATACCCATGCTCTTAAATATAACAAGCATTCTCCAATATCTACTCAACCTCCTTTGGCACCAAGTGTTAGAATCTATGAAAGGTCTAGGAATGAAGAGCGAGAACTCATAAAGCAAAAAGACAAAATCAATTCTAAGATTATTGACGAAGTTTGGAAAAGAGCACATGGTATTCCAATTCCAAATGATACATCGAAATTATCAAAACCTCAAACTGCAAGAACTAGAGCAGTTAAAAAACCATGGAGTTCATTATTGCTCGAGAAAGAGTCATTGTTCCCAAACAAACAAGAACAAATAATGAATTCTTCTCGTTCAATCCACAGAAAACAAGCTCAATTTGAAGCTTCTGCATCTGTATTTTCTAAAGAACCCGAATCTGGTATGCATGTACGCTATAACAAGCCAACTCGAAGTAATATGAGTCCGTTAAGACGTTCTCAAGAGAATTCTGCAAGAGTTCCAAGAGCTCACTCTGATGATGGCTTCAAAATAAATAATAATATTCCGGAAGAAGATCAAACTATAGAAGAAATCGAACCTCCTCCAGAAAACGAGAACGAGAATGAAACTATGGACAACGAAAGACCATCAGCTATTATACAAGGATTGCTTCAATCATTAGATGATACATCTGAAATCTCACAAGATATTGTTAATATGGATAATTAGAATAAAACTGTTTTGTATGTTATATTTTTCGGAAAAATGTCTAGTAGAAACTCTTCGAAAATATATTTTTCAATCAATCCAAAAAATTTGATCAAAGAAAAGGTATGTTATGTACTTTATATATAAATATCTTTATTAACTATAAAGTACACAATTAAGCTTTCATGTGCATACCCTTGTTCTTGCACAACAATCCGCATTCAAAATATGAATGCGGAACTACGATCCCCATTAGAGTCATACACTCTTGGGTTGAGTCCACGCTCATTAATTATAGTATTGTTACTAAACTCTTTAATTTTGGCTTGACTAATGAATTTAAGTTAAGCTTTAACAACATCAAATCTGGTATAACTGTCTGCAGTAACGAGTACTTAATATTAGAATGAAAATATTTGTAAAATTACAAAAATATTAGAAAAAAATGAAAATGAAAATGAAATTATTTATTTTAAAATGCCGGTTTGAACTCATCGTTAGCAACTCCAACGAATTCCAACTGGTAATTAGCCGGGTCTCCCTCGTAATAAGGCTGAGGAGAGAAGAGCAAGATGTCCTTTGCCTGCTGTGACTCGTCATCGCTGTAGTTTCTCATCATTGCGAAGTTGAATTTTCTCAAAGCCAACCTTGTGTCTTTCTTTGTCTTCATTTGTGATACTGTTCCTGTTTCTCTCTTTGCTCCATTGCAGATGATGCACTTCTCGTAGTTTCCGCAGATAGAGTTATTGTGGATTGCGTGGCCGCAAGGATACACTCTTATTTCGCTTCCTCCGTACGAAAGCGGCTGTTGGCAAATTGCGCATTTTGGTCTGTCATCAGTTACAGCGTAACCTTGTGTTATTCTCTCGAACGCTTTGTTGCAGAGTTTCAAACAGTCGTTGATGAGCATCTCTTCGACTGTTCCGTAGAGCTGTACTTGGTAGTTTGCTCTTGCGAAAATTGCGTTCAAAATTGTTCTGTATTCTGCCTGATCCATAGCGCAGAAATAGATTGTCAAAGTGGCGAAAACTAACTCTGTTCTGAGATGATTGAGAGCTGCCATAACAAAGTATGTGAACAACTGTGTAATGACGGCTTTCAGCTTCGTGTTTCCTTTCGTCTTCATGTGATACAATGGAAACTGGAATGCAAGAAAAGTGTCAATCCATCTCTGAACAGTTTCATTTTCTTTGTCATCCAAACTCTCCAACAACTGGATCGCGCACATAACGGCATTGTACTGGCGACTGACTGACTCACTCTTGTTCATCTGTGCAACATCTGCAAATTCTATAGGTGCATCGCTATCAATTAATTCTAAAAGTGACACTTCAATTTCAGTGACGATTAATTTGACAGCTTCGATTGCGTTTGAGTGCATTCTATGTATTATTATTTCGCAATCGATGAGTTTGAACTTCTGAGCGACCTTGAGGGCCTCGTCCAGATCGAAGTCCTCCCATGTTGTCGCAGTGTTCAGGAAGTGGGAAGCGTTTGAAGGCTCAAACTGACAATACAACTTGAACAACTCCAAAACAAACTTCGCGTCAAATGATTTGTTTTTGTCTTCACTCGTCTCGAAAAGCGCGGACAAGTATTTGAAGAGATCGCGACCTTTGAGTTGTGTCTTGAGTGGTTCAATGGAGTCCTCGAAATTGGCTTTGATGATGGAAACTAATTTCAACGCATTCAAATTCAAAAGTGTTGAAATATGATGTAAAACCGCCAATTTGATCTCATTTCTGTCAGAAAGGTGGTTTTCAATGAAATCAAAGACAAATCTCGATTTCTCTTGGGAACTGATATATGCTTTCATGATTGACTGATAGTCCTTCTTCTTGAGGAACAGTTCTTCAGCCAAATTGACAAAGCCACAGCTCAAACAGCTCTCTGCAACAATGTCAAGTGGAAATGCATCAGGAAAAGTGTCAGTTATCTGCTTCAAAACTGCTTCCCTCGCTTCAACAAAGTTTGAAGTGGTGAAGATCCATGTGCAGACGTTCTTGATGGCACAGCCGTTGTAAGGGAGTGACAATGTGTAGATGACTGGGCAGATGGCATCTAATATCTTAGAACATTTGGTGAATTCAACATCTTTGATCGCATTTAAGGCGGCATCAACGATATGGATAGGCTGAAGTGCTTCTACTTTGTTGAACTTGATGGGACAAAGCTCAATCATCTGGGAAATGATGCCGGCGGCCCTCTCCCAGTTATTATTGATCATAGCGTTCATTCTGTCGTAGATTCCGTTGTGAGGGATCATCAGCCAGGTTGATAAGTTGAGGATACTTGCGGCTTCTCGCTTCTTGGAGAAGATTTCGGATACGAAATTAGATAATGAACCTGATTTGAAGGAAATTTGGGCCGCGAGAACGACGTTCTGGTAGAAACGTAATAAGATCTTCTTCTGGAGTTGGATCATGTTCCTTTCTCTGGCCAACAACAAAATTGATTTGGCTTGGTCTTGATCTAACGTCATATTCGTCAAAATATCCTCGGCTTTGTCAAGGATATTGTTGGCAGCGGCGTAATCGAAGTATTCTTTGACGATATCGGCTGTAACTGCTTGTCCATTGAAAGATTGATTTGCAAAGATGCCGGCGAAGAACTCCTCGAGCTTATTCTTCTCTTTGAAGACCTTGAAAGCGCTTTGGACTACATCACGGCCGATTCCGAGCTGAGTTGCGTAAGTTATGACGTATGATAAATCTGCTGAAAGGGAAGTAGAGTTCATACTGTCTGCAATGCATCTTTCTGATACATCTCTGCCGATTTTGGCAACTTCGATACGACGAATTGTGTTGTTTGACGAAAGTCCGATCAAATCGTCACTTGTACCAATACTTATCTCAAGAAGCATGGAGAATACCTTGTCGTATTCCTTCTTCTCAACATGGAACTCAATAACTTCCTTCCAATCAGTGAAACAAATGTGGGCTGGCATATTCTTACTGACAAGAAGGATTTTGTCATCGTCGACCATGAGATCAGTACGGCCTGAGAATATATCGATGTAATTCTCGAATTCGCCAGCTGAAACCGTGCAGCCTTTGTTTGTATATAAATTCATCGAACCTTTCGTTGTAATAACGGCTGTAATTGTAGAGGTAAGAAGGTTGATCTTATGTACTTTCTCGTTCTCAAGCGATTTGGTCCAGAGTTGTGTTCCGGAGAAATTAGAACCAAATTTCCAATATTGGATATCTTTGCCGCCGCCGATGGCCAGGAAGACTGCGCCATCCTTGGTAATGATGGACATTTCGGTCTTGCCATCAAGAGTAATTGGCTGTTGAATTATTGGATTATTTGCAGATTCGATCAATGATTGGTTGAAAATAAGGTAGCTATTGCCGAATGTTGCGAAGCCGATGGCTGGGGAGTTCTCGATGTTGGCATTTGAAGCTAAGACAGTTGTAATTCTTGAATCAGCAGTGTACAAGAGTCTCTGATCCATCTTGAAGCCCATAAAGCCTTTACGGAAAACAACTGAGTATAGTTTACCTGAGGCATCACCGTAGAAAATGTATTCTGAAGTAACACCAAAATTGACGTATGTAACTTCAGAATAGTCCTTCTTGTTATCGAGAGATTTGACAAACTTTTGTTCTGCAATAGACCAGACACTGACAGAGCCATTCAAGTGACCTGTGACAAGGTATGCCAAATCATTTGAGATATCTATGCATGTAAATGGGGATGTTGGTGCTCCTTTTGTGTTGAAATAAATTATTTTGTGAGTATCGAGATTGAAAACAGCTGGTGAGGGAAGATCTGTAACTGTAGCAAAAACATAATGAAGTTTGTGGCTGTCTATGACAACTTTGCACTTCATTTCTTCGAACATCTCAGCAATAGAGTCAAGAGGCTGGATCTGATACTGAGGTATTCCTTTAATCGACATTTTTTTTATTTCACTTGAACGATAGCAATTTTTTTTCAAATTTTATAGTAAAAAAAAATTAAAACATAAAATTTAATAGTAAAAACAAAATAGATTTAATAGACAAATACATATTAATAACTAAAATTGAATTTTGATTAGAATTATTAGTATCAAATTTAGAAAATGAAGTGTATAATTCGATCTAATGCTTAATATCTTCTTGAATCATGTTGCATATGTTCATCATCCCATAGATGGCTCATTATTTTAGTAGTTTTCTTTTTTGATGTTCGACTCTCAAGCTTTATCTAAAAAATTAAGCTTGAATGTCCCGATTGATGAAATATTCACGTTCAAATCTTCTCCACCAATAGAAAATATATTGACTCCTTCAAGACAAATTTATAATTCAATCTTACCTCATCCAAAAGACATTCACACCGATATCAGTTTTGAGTTCCTGAAAGAAAGAGCTGAAAGTGAATATGGAGGAAGAAAAACAGACGAAGATGATATAATTATTCCTAAAGAAAGAATTGTTGAATTTATTAGTTACATTAAAAGTTTACGAGAAGGTGAAATAGAGAGATATTATAATGATTTCAAGGCAACAAAGGAAAATATTTATTATCAAATAGACGGATTTAGTAATTTACAAGAAAAACGACCTCCAACAGAACGTCCAAATGAATTATATACAAATTAGTTTGTTTTATTTTATTCTTATTAAATATAGAGTTATATTGTTTTGTTTGTCAAAAATGGAAATTTTACAATTGTCATTTTTTGTTTACATGTCAAAAATTCGAATAAAATGATAAGGTAATCAGCCTGTGAAGTAATGGCCTAGAATTACTACATCACAAGCTTATACCCCTCTTACGAAGTTCTAAAACTTTGAGCCAATCTTTTTGAAAACTATGTTTTATCATATTTTATTGATTTGATACCCGTAAATTGTCATATATTTTCTTATATAGTAGCATTTCTTCAAGAAATGCATTTTCAACAGTATCTATAAACAAAATATCAGCTTTCTTCCAAGCCAATAGAAATAAAAAGTTTAATAAAAAGTGACAAAAATTTTGATTTGCTAATTTTTTTTTCGCCAAGATTTCTAAGTTGAAATGAACTCCCAAATAGATAATACAGCTATTTTATATGTATGTCATCTAATCTAAATGATGCTTGTACAGCATATTAAAGCGACAGATTTCCGTGTCAATGACTTTTATTGAGCAAGATTTCAATTCACTTTCAAAATAATAAATTGCCTATTTGAAAATTAAAATGGCACTTTTCAAATAATCAAATCAAATAATAAATGTTCTATATTAGTCTATGATCAATATTTTGTAATTAAACAAGAAAAATATAATTGAATGCAATGGAAATTATTTATTGAGTTAATGCCAAAATGCAGTAGATAATTAAAAATCATTGCATATTAAATTAAGTGTAAACTTCTCAAAACTTCAACTTAAAATATTTTATATTAAAAATCAATAATATCTAATGATCAATATCTTCCAATTGATTTCTTCTCGTTAACAAAAAGTGACGCCAGACCTCCTTCAAAAGTACAAAAATATTAAAAAAGTTATGGAGTTAAACTTCCGTTTCGAAGACTTTATTGTAGAATCACCTATTGGACAGGGTGCATTCGGCCAGATTTATAAAGCGATCGAGATTAAATCAGGAAAAACCTTTGCATTAAAAGCGTTGAATAGACGTTTTCTAATCAAAATGAAAAAACAGAGTTTAGCCACACAAGAAAAAGATGCTCTGACTAAAGCAGCTAGCCCTTTTGTTGTTAAACTCTACGGCACCTTCAAAGATGCGTCCAACTTATATTTCGTTTTAGATTACGCAGAACATGGTGATTTAGCTGAAGCTGTTAATGACCTTGGAAGTTTGAATACTAAAGCAACGACATATGTTTGCGCCCAACTTCTTGAAGCAATTTCAACACTCCACGCCAAAAACATCATTCATCGTGATATTAAAATCGAGAATATTCTTCTTAACTACAAAAACTATATTATGCTTACTGATTTTGGAACTGCAATGATGACTGACAACGACGATTCCGGCTTTCGCCCTTCATCTGTTGTAGGTACGCCTGACTTCGTTGCCCCTGAATTATTGAACGACGGACATATCTGCTACGGCTCAGATATGTGGGCTTTTGGGTGCGTTATTTTCAATCTTTTGACCGGTAAAGCGCCGTTCGAAGGAAACTCCACCCCAGAACTTATGTCTAATATTGTAGCTCGCAAAATCTGCTCAGATATTGAAAAACTTCCAAAGGCCTCCCAAAATATTATTACTTCCCTCCTCGAAATTGACCCGAAGAAGAGACTTGGATACAATGAAAATAGCAAGGGATATCCATCAATCAGAAACCATCCTTTCTTCAAGAATATTCCATGGGATAAGCTTGAAACTACAGAAATGCCACTCTTTGGCCCATTCAAGCCTGAAACAGCTACCTCATTTGCAGAAGATATGCTTGCACCTGGAGAAACAATTATGCTTGAAGGAGTTGTTGAAAGAAAACGTGGTTTGATGTGGAAAGGAAGGTTATTAATCATAACTAATCAAAAGAAACTTTTAATATTCAATATAGAAAACAAAACTCTTAAATCTACGATTCAGATCAACGCAAAAGTTAAAGTACAAGTTGCAAAAGATGGAAAAGAATGGACGCTTAATTACGGTGATAAATCGCAATTATTCAGATGCAAGAACGGAGATGCTGGCCTTTGGGCATCAACTATTATCAAATCGTTGACTACAAGATAATTTTATTTAATTTTATTATTATTTTTTTGTTTTGTTTTCAGTAACTATCTTATTTTAGATACAATGTTTCTAAACATGTTTTTAAAATGTATTTAATGCATACATGATTTCAAATTTACAATTTTTTTTATTATGCTTCTGATTTCTCGGCCAAACAGCCGATAATAACATGTGAATTTTTTGTTTTTTTCGAATAAAATTCTTTGGATAAAATCAAATGTTGAAATTAGCTAAAAAATAGAGTTAATTTCATATTAATTTTAAATAGTTTTAAAAGAGTGATTATATAAAACAAGAATTTTACTGACTTTTGTAAAATGAAATAAGGAAATTGATGGTAATTATTCAGTTAAAGAATAACTATGCACTGTAAAATTTATTATATCGTTCTAACAAGTACCAATTATAAATAATGAAACAATTCTGTGGTATTTAACAACATCCGCCTTCCTTGTTCTGTTTCTCGTTCTCAAAGGCTACGTTACCTTTAAGAGACTTTCCTGGTGACTCTTTTGGTGGTCCAGCTGCATTAATTAATTCAACTACGTGCTCACAAATCGAATTAAAGAGTGGTTCTAAATTTTCTTTCGTTTTCGCACTAGTTTCATAGTAAGGCGCTTTAAATTGAGCTGCTAACTCTTCTGCGTCACCTTTTGCGACAACTCTTTTATCGATAAGATCAGTTTTATTTCCTGCAATTACAATATGTATTTGATCACCACGAGCTTGCTTAAGCTCATTAATCCACTTCTGGGCTCTTGTAAACGAGTCTGCATCTGTTAAATCAAAAACAACAATTCCGGCTTCAGCATCACGGTAAAATAATGGCGAAAGAGCATGATATCTCTCTTGGCCTGCTGTATCCCATATTTCTAATGATAGATCCTTCTCTTGGTAATTTACTTGTTTTTGGCAAAAAGCTGGCTGGGTCGTTGAAACCGTATGATGCGTAAAGGATCCGAAAACGTATTGGTTCACGATTGATGTTTTTCCTGTATGGGCTGCGCCAACCAAAACTATTTTGACCTTACGCATTTGTCACGTTTTCACAATTCTGTTCATACTTTATTATTTATCTTGAATTGGATAAATTTCTGGTAAAAAAATCTGATTTTTATGATTTCGGTTGATTTGCGAAAAATAAACTTTCAAAAGTAGAAATGTGGTTGGAAACTCTCACTTCGATGTTCAAACTAGAGTCAGAAGGGGTTATATCATGCATTTAATTATATTACAGTATGAAATTTTAATAATTTCAAAATATTGATCAAATTTGAGCGTAAATCAAAATCTGGAATTTATCTTTCAGATATTGAAATTTCCTGTGTTATAGCTTGGAAATGACATGGATGCAACCACTTTTGATACTTACTTCATCTAAAAAGACATTTGACACATTTACCCTTGACGAACTTGTAACAGAGAATTTCTTTATCTCGATAATTATTTATATATAGTTAATAGATATAAAATTTTAAAATCCTGAATGAATTTGCAACGATGTTTTATACATATTGAACAAGCTTTGAACTTCCAAATCGCAGGAATAAAAACTTTACTAAATATACTTCTAAAATGTTTTTCAATAATACTAATATCTTTACCACAAATTAAGTTATGCGTTACCTCATCAATGAAATAGGCAACTTACCAAATATAGTTATATTCAAAAAATATCATTTAACACAAACATACAAGGCATATAATCAATTTTATAGCACTAATTTGAATTAAACATACTGTAAAAAGAAGAAAAATTGTTGCTTTCTATCTTTATGTTGCATAATGAAGAATGGCTATTCCTATTTTTATCTTTTTCATTGATATTTGCTCCATATGAAATAAGATGTTGGACTATTTCTTTTTTTATATGTTACAACATGTAGATTTAATCTTCTTATTTTTATCTTTTTCATTGATATTTGGATTATGCGAAATAAGAAATTCAGCTGTTTCTATTTTATTTTTACATGATGCATTATAAAGGAGGGTGTTTCCATATTGATCTTTTTCATCGATATTTGCCATTGTTGTCATATGAGGTGCGGTTTCTCCAACTTTATCTTTTTCATTAATATTTGCACCATGTGAAATAAGAAGTTCGACAAATTCTTTATTATTATTATTAATTGTTGCATATTGAAGATCTGTTTTCCCATATCTATCTTTTGCATTGATATTTGTGCCATGTGAAATAAGAAATTCGACTGTTTCTTTATAATTATAACGTGCTGCATAATGAAGAGCGATTTTTCCAGAGTGATCTTTTTCATTGATATTTGCGCGGTGCGAAATAAGAAGTTCGGCTGTTTCTATACCATTTATTTCTGCTGAATAATGAAGAGCCGTTTTTCCAAATTCATATACTTCATTGATTTTTGCACCATTTGAAAGGAAATATTTGCAAAGGGATGTAATATTAAACATGGCAGAATCAACAAAACATTTGTCAATATCATTAGTTTGATCAAAATAAACTAAAAATGATTCAAGATTTTTATATTTTCCACATTTCATTAAATCGATCTTTAAATTGTGTTCATTCATCAAGAATGTAACAAAATCAATATTGTGTGAAATAATTGCGTATCTCATGCATTCTTCATCTAGTTTTTTATATTTCAAGCATTCACTCAGGATCTCTTGATTTCTTCCTAAAAATGAAAATTGTAAACATGCTTGAGTTATTTCTGATTTATATTTCGTTCTTAATAACTTGAAACAATCAACTACTCCGTGATAACAACATAATTCAAGTAATGAATATCCTTTTATAGAATTTTTTATTGAAAGTACCGAATAAGCTCAAAATAGATTAATATTTTCATTTCTTTAATGTGTCACGCAATTTTTTTTAAAAAAAAGAACAGCCTATTTTCGCAAAGGAAATATTATTTTATAGAATTGTCGAATTTATTGTCTCCGCTGTCTAAACAAGAAAAAGCCATCCGAAGGCAGGGAAAAGCTGTGTTGGTTTTAATAAATGAGATAACACAGCTTTATACCCTTCCCCAATTGGTATGGCTCCCAATATTCTTGTGGCCAATGGATTAAGCCATCTTTCCGATTTCCAAAATCTGGCGTCGATGCAATTTTAATCCAGAAAATTATGTTTATAAAAGAAAAAATAAATCAGATAAAAATAATATTATTAACATTTTATTAAAATTAATATGTATTATTAATCGACATCATCTACATCATGTGATTCTGGCTGTTTTTCGGGTGTTTTATGGAATTTTTGAGAAAATTTGGAATTTTCATCTTCTTCAACTGATTTTTGAGCAGATTCCTTATCATTACTTTCTTTTTCTTCAGTGTTTTGAGTTTCTTCATCACCATTTTCGTTTATTTCTACTACTTTTTGATTAAATTTCTTTTTTTCTTCTTCTGTCATCAAATCTGGGAAATCTTTTATATTTTTACCAGATGAAATACAGTGATTGCGTTGGATCTGAGTAAGATCGTCAAAATTCTTCTGTTCCATTTCGTATTGTTCTGCTTTGATTTTCTTTCTTTCTAGCATTTCTGCCTGCTTTCCACCAGTCTTCCATGCAGCCACAGTTCTCGTTTCGTTGTCTGTAACTGGCTCATCGTCCAAATACGTGAGATTTGGGTATCTTAAAATCATATTTCTGCGATAGCTCGTGAGTGTTCTTGTAATTGGATTTCCATCCAAGTGTATGACTTTGAGATGTGGTAATTTGTCTAATATTTCTAGAACTGAAGGATCTTCAATTCCATTGTTGTTTAAGTGAATAATTTCAAGAGATTGGCATTCAAGAAGTCCATCAAGTGAATGAGGATCTGATAATCTGTTTCTATCAGCATCTAAATTCTTGAGTTTCTTGCAATTTCCGAGATTTTTAATGTATTTAATGCTGTTTCCAGATATAGAGAGAAGCTCTAAGTTAACAAGATTCTCTAAACCTTCTAATTCTGTTATTATATTATCTGACAAGTATAAATTCGTTAAATTAATAAGTGTATCGAGGCCAGAAATCTTTGAAATGCAGTTTCCACTTAACCACAGCTCTTTGATGTTTGTATACTTCTTCAAACCGTGAATAGATGCAAAACCTTTGGCTTCAAGATGGAGTGAATCATTTAATTCTGGTATTAGATATAAACCATGTTCACGGCAGCATTCTTTAATAACTTTTTGAGTCATATGGATATCTGCATCGTCATCATCATATTCAAAAGCGTCACTGTCACTCATGATATTTAAAAAAAAAGTAAAAAATTTTGAAATCATGCTATCTCCTGTAGAAAAAAAGCAATTACGCGGGAAAATGCTAGAGTTAACTAATGTACCTGATCAAAGTAATGATATTGGAACAATTTCAAAACATTTTTCAGCGTTCGGAGACATTTCTTCAATTTATATTGGTTCAAATCGAGCAGAGATTAAATTTATGAATACAAATTCATTAGAAAACGCAATAAATTCATCAAAACCATTTGCAAACAATAGATTAGTTAAGTTTCACTCCCTTCAACGCGATAAAAGCAAATACACAAATTTGGCAGAATATGTAAGCATGAAAGCTATCGAAAAGAAATGTAGAGCTATTCAAAACGAAAAATCTTTGAAACGAAAACAAATTAGAAAAAAGACCAAAGAAATTCAAAATAATATACAAGATATATTCACAGAATCTGAGAAACTCTTTATTAAAATTGGAGATGCAAATGAAACGGATAAAAAGATTTTATTAAAGTATTTAAAAAGCTTATCTTCAATGAAGAAGGATTACGAATCACAACTAGAAGATTTACAAAGAGAGTATGAATTTATGTAGACATTTCACGATTGAAAAAAAAAATGATAGATTTAATTTCAAAATTTGATTTTGGATTGCCAAAATATCATTGCTTTCAGTTATAGTTTTGGTAATTTCCTTTAATTTTCAAGAAAAAGGGAAAAAAGTAAGAGTTATGTCCTGATATTATTATTATGATCTACTCTAATTTTGAGGTTCTGTGCGTAGTATTGTTTTTGGAAATTAAGAAGTCATTCTACTTGAGTTTCTACTTAGACAGGGGCTAGAATGCTCAAAATGATGATGTAATCATGTTTTATGTAGTAAATGTATAATACAACCAATTAAGTGAAATATTTAGAGTTCTATCCTATAATATCAAAATTTATTTCAAATACATTCGAAAATTGCATCTGCCGTGTGAAATAATTCAGGAATGTGATTGGTAACATATTCACATCTACATTAGTTGTCTTCTTCGATATATTTGCTCAATATATAAGTATAAGTATTAATGCATTCGTAAAAGTATGAGACTTTCACACGTGAGCAATCATTGAGTAAAAGATAGATTTAGATTTCTGTATTATAAAAGTTGTTACATTAATCCGAAAGATTATAACCCAATTGATGAAACTCAGACTCTCTCATATAAGGTCGATGAAAAATTGAGCGTTTTTAAAAAACCGCCGTTTGAGAGGAAAATTGAGAGCCCCGATGTATACTTTTTGACATTGTCAAAAACTTTGAAAGGACCAAAAAAAATTTAGTGTCAGAAAGTTTAGAAATGTATATTTTCTGACAAACAGACTCTCAGAAAGTACTCAAACTGCGGTTTTTAATTTCCGCACTTTTTTTGGCGACCTTAAGGGTGCACCCGTATGTACGTTTATTTGAGAGGAGGAGGATTACCCTCTCAATTTTGAGGGATTCGTTAGTTTATTTTCTCGATGAATATGCAATAAAATTTGATTTTTACCTTATCAATATACTTCATATAATATACACATGTTCATGTAAAAACTTTTTTCCAAAATCCTCAGGAATTAAGGGATTTTTGAATTTTAAGAATTTTTTTCGAATTTTTTCGAAAAAAAATATTTTCAGAACACCCTTAACGGCTAAGATTTAGGAACAATGTTAAGTATCAAAAAGAAAGGAGGTCTGATATAGACAACATATATCGTTGAAGGTTGAAAAAATCTCTAATATTTGAGCCCAAAATTTCAAATTTTAATTTTTTGAAAAAAGAGGCCACCCGTATGTACGTTTATTTGAGAGGAGGAGGATTATATTTTTGAAAGGGTGAAACATTATGAATATGTTAATTATATAATAATATGTATTATTATAAAAAAGAAAAAATAAAGCACGTTAAAATTTTTCTTTCTTGATTTTTTACAAAATCTACTTAGAATTATGCAAAATATGACTAAATAATTATAAATTTCAAGTTAAATTTTAATTTTGATAAATAATTTAAATTTCAAAATATCAAGTTCAGTTCGACTATGTATGTAGTAATTCCTCAATAAAGTGCCAAAACCCTATTAAAATATATGAACATTTTCAACATTTTAATGTTTTTATTTAAAAATTTGATGGAATATGAGCTTCAAACAATTATTATGTAAATAAAAATAATTAAATATATGTATTTATTCGTATTATAACCGTAGTAAGTCGATTCTTCCTTTCTTCTACTGAGGTTTGAATTTGATTTCGAATTGTAAAGAGATTCAAAGGGAAAATACTAGCGGATAAAAACTACCTCCATGAAAGGGTCATAATGGAGTCAAGTTGTATTTTTTGATATTTTTTGCTTTTCGAGCCTAAATAGGTAGCCAAGATAATGCCTAAAAATAAGGTTCTAAATTCTGAAGTTTACATGATCCTCTCGTGTGCACCCTTAAACTTTTAGATTTTTTTTTTGTGCTGGACTATCTTTTTTTAAAATGTCTGAAGATTTTCAAAAAGTAATTAATTATGGACAAGAATTGATTAACAACCAAGGCATATTCGCGAAAAAGGAAATACTTTCTTATACTTTCGAAGAGATTGAACAATGTTTTAACAAGTTTAAAGAAAATTCCGACATTAATTTCACAGCTGGTTTTGTCTCATCAGTTTGTGATGCAATAATATCGAATTGGCAATCATTCTCAGACGAACAAAAGGAAAATATCAAAAAATTAACCATTGAAATTATTAATTCTCAGATTTCAGCTCAATATGCATTACGTCTTTCATACTATGCATCAAGACTTTATCAGACATTAAATTCTGAATGGAATGAATTTTCAAATTTAATCTTCGAATCTTCTTCTATTTCAGATACATTAGCATTCATTTTCATTGGTGCTTTTGATACTTTCCAGCAAGAATACATCCAACAGAACAAAGACAAAATAACAAACAGAATTTTTGAATTTTTATCAAAAGTTTCAATAGTAGTTCAATTACGCTTATTGAATTTACTCTGCTGCATCGATAACCTTCAATTATCAGAAGAAAAACTATCTCTTCTTTGGAATTATATTTTTAATATCATATTTGTTCGTCCTTCAGCATTAATTGTTATCAATACCATCTTAACTGGTATATTCAATGACTATCATACAATCCAGCAGCTTCAAAAGCCTGGTTTTGAAACAAAAGAAAATTATATTTCTTCATTAAGGTTATTATTTACATTTAACCCTGAAAAAACAATTGAACTTCTTTCAAAACTTGTTGATGACCCACAACAAGAGTTCGTTGATGCTCTCAACAGCGAATTTCTTGATACCGTTCAACCAAACCAGATGGCAGCAATTTCTGACTATATCTTTAAAGAAGAGCCATTAAAAGTCAAGCGTTTAACAGTTCTCACTCCTTTAATTCCATATTTGGCAAATTCAAATCCAAAATTTGTCGAAAAAGCCATAGAAATCCTCAAGATCACATCAGAAGATAATGAGCAAAAGGAATCATTCCTAACCATCTTGAAATATGGCTCTTCCGCCCTATTAAATGCCGAAAAAATGAATTTTGTTCTACAAACATTGATTTCTTTAATGGCCAACGATGATGAGATCGGAAAGAGAGCTGCTGATGTTTCCAAAGCCGCTTTCAAATCTGGATTAATCAAAACAAGACAAGATATCAAGTTTGTTATTACAAAATACCAAACAGTTAGTCCAAATTTGCAGCCATCATTGATAATTTCTCTTGACTCTCTCGCTAACTCAGAGGGTTTCGATTCCCATTTAATAACTCCTTTGGTCGAATTTGTGAGGACACAACTAAGAAATGCATCGACAAAGGAAGAAATCAAGGCTTCTTGCTTCACATTGATCTCCTCCTTAGCAGAAAAGGATGAAAACGTTCCATTTACCCTCCAAAACGATTTATTAAGAAATATGCCAGAACTTTTGAATGGAGATGACCAGTCCAAGCAAAGTGCAGCTCAAATTATCTATCTCTTGGCAGTTTTGGCCCCAGATTCAATCAAAAAACTTCCAGATGGCGCAATCGACACTTTATTCGGCCTTACAAGGACAGAAGGCAAGTCATCTGAAATCAGAGGCGCAATTGGTGAATCATTGGCCGGAATTGTTGCAAGTTGCGGAATTAAAGCATTATATCCACAATTAGTTGATTTAATTGACTCCTTCTTGAAGACAGGTGAAAGAAACTTAGGTATTTCTGCATCTACAATGGTCATCATCGCTTGCGAATGCTTCGAAGGCAGATTAGGTCAAAATGTCATGTTATCATGCGCAAGAGCAGCAGCACAGACCGACTACGCACCTCTATTTAACTCATTTGTTGAAGGATTAAGGAGAATTGCTTCCACTCAACCTGTTGATAAATGGAATTTGGATTTCTCACTTGAAATCGTAAATGGTTTCGTAAAAGTTGCTGAGATTGAGCCAATCTCTTCATGGTACAACTTGAGAACTCCATTGTACTCTTATTTCACGATTGTCATGCAAAAGTTGGGAAGTTTCGCTTCTCCTTTGATTCCTTACCTTTTGGACATCGTTTCTGATTGCGTTGATCCTATGGTTGATGTTGTTTTCGAACCTGTGAAGAGAATTTACGAATTAAATTTGATTGACGACGAAACAAAGGATAAACTCATTGACAGATGCTGCACAAAGTTATTGCAGGCTAAATCATTTGAGATGCTTCACTTTGCTGTCAATAATACAAAAGATTTAGAAAAATTTGCTTCAATTGTTGCAGAACAACTGAGAAAGATCGACCAAACCGAACAGACCGAGAATGTAGATGATGAATGGATGTGTAATTTAGCTCTTTCTCTTCTTGTTCTCAATGAAAGAGGTGCTCAAATTGAAGATGACGATTTGGAGACAGCAATTGTCTGCTTCCCTCCTGAACCATCATATAAAATCAGTGAGGACATGATAAAGCAGGTTATCAGAGTTTCAAAGGCAGAATTATCTGATGATTTGAAAATGGTTGTTTCTAAAGTCATTTTTGACTTCTTGTTGCTCCCTAAGCAGGAAGTTGCTCCTCATGGTATCCAGAATTCGTTCGTAACCCAATTAAAGGACTCTTTCGCAAAACTTGTCAAATCAGACAAAGAAATTGAGAATGAACTTGTTAGATACTGTGGAGGAGTTAAATCAAAGGTAGGAAAACTTAACCAATTAATCAGATAATTATGATTTTAATTTATTTTTTATTCTTTCTTATATTTTTTATTTATAGATATTAAAGCATCTTTTTCATTCTAGGTCGATTGATTTTGATAATAACAACCATACAATGTTCTGTATTTCATAATTTTAATACATCTGCATTTGTTTCATTGTTTCAAATACAAAATAACATCATCAAAAGATAAATTATTCAGATAGAATGTAGAAAGAAAACTTTTCCTAAATAGGCATTTGAATTCACCCATAAATAGAACTCTTTTCTTTACATGATGGAAAATATCTTGAAAATAAATATCATAAACGATGAAAATTTATATATAACATGTATAATACAAGCTGCAATGTACTAAACATTTACAAGAATCAAAACTGAAGGATTGATATGGCGAGGAAAAAAATATAGTTTTTATGTAAACTTCAGAATTTTCAATTTTCATGTAAAGATTTAAAAAAACGTGCCAAGAACAAATATAAAAAAAAATCATGGAAGAGAAAATCATGAAGATGGCGATGAACTCGTCAACATACGAGAATCAATATAAACAAGGTGATGCTCTTGTCAAGTTAGGCAAACCAGATGCTGCTCTTCAAAAGTTCAAGAGTGTTTGTGAAAATCTTGAAGTTCTAATGAAAGCAAATCCAGCAGCAAGAATAGAATCCCATTTAATTCCAATGTCACTTACAAAAATGGCTGATATTTACAAAGATAAGAAAGACGTTAATAAGGCTCTTGCATTAATGAAGAATGCACGTCATTTCCTTGAATACATGTGTGCAAATAAGCCAAACCGCGAAGATGAGGACTCTGATGAAGCAGATAACGCAGAACATTATACTCTTGGTGCATTATTCGTTGAGATGCACAAAGCATTTGATATGGAAGATGCCACACCACCATCAGATGCAGAAGAGATCACTCGTATCTTCTTGGAAGCCAAGAAAAAACATGAGGAAGAAACTGCCCGTAAAAACATCGAAAAGCTAAAGGCAATCAACGAAGCTCGTAAGGAAAAGTTACGTAATTCCCGTTGGGCAAGATTCGTCGAATTAGTTAATGATCACCCAATTGCTTTCGCTATTGGCTCTGTTGTCTTCTTAAGTGTCTTCTTGATCATTTCTCTTATGATGTTTACTATCGAACCACCCGTAAACGTATTCGATCAAAAACGCTCTAAATACGAAAAGAATTTACCACCTGACTACGTTCCCCCGGGCCAAAGACATGGACATACTCATAACCATGAGCATGAAAAAGCTAGTGCCGAGAGATCTAAAGCAGAACAGGAAAGATTAAAGAAGATGATGGAAGATTTGAGTAAATACGTGGATAAAGAGGATCTGAAACAGAACCCAATGGATGATCAGGCTAAGCAAGAACTTTAAACTATAATTAGATTTGTATTCATGATTATAAAATAAAAAAACAATTGTTTACCAATTTTGAATATATCCATTCATTTAGATTCCATTAGTCTCTACATTTGTTATTTGATACTGTTAGATACCAAAAAAATATTGGTTAATAATTAACTCAATTAGCTCCTCATATAATAAAAACTTTTTCTGTGAATAAAGAACTAAAAGTTCCCTAATAAATCAAAAGATGTGAGAGAATTTTCATAGAAAAATCTAATCTTTTCTTTTATCTTCCATTAGTAGTAGTGTTAAAATACACAAATAAAAATATGTATAAGATTTTAAACAAATAGCTTTATTACATATAAATCTCCGTTATAAAAAGATTTCCTTTTTTGTTTTCCGTATAAGAATATAAAATACAAGTATAATTAGTTAAGAAAGCATATATAATTCAAGCGTGAAGAATTCTATAAGTAAGCTCAAATATTTTTATAATTTTTTGTGATTTTGATATAACTGATAGGCTAATACAATTATATTTTGATTCTGATTCTGAATACTGATTTGCTTGGATTAGATTCTGTTGTTATAAGAGTACTATTTCCATAAACTGATTCTGCTGTTTTTCTATCTAAATTCATTTCATTTGTAGCATAATCTATTAAATTTTCGCGTATTTTTTCTGTATTGACAGCATCTTGGCTCATTAACAATGATAAGATTTGATCTCTTGAAATTTTTTTCATTTGAATTTTTGTTGTTCGTTGTGTTTTAGCTCTTTTGACAGCATCTGGATCGTGCTCGTGTAAATCTCTTCTAATTTTGCGAGCAAGTCCAGATTCTTCCATAGCTCTCTTTCTGAATGACATTGTGCTTGTCATTGTTTTAGACATTGTTTGCATTCCTGTTGTTTCATATGGATCTCTAGTATAAACACTAAAACGAGAATTCATTAAAAATTAAAAAAATCACTTTTTGTACGTTTAATACTCAGTTATTATTAATTCCGTGTAAACTTAACAATTTCATTCAATTTTTCTTAATATTCGGCAAGATTTATAAAAAACATAAAAAATTTTTATAATTAACATATAAATTTATAAATTAATAACACACAGAAAATAAAGAAAAAGTAAAATAAATATAAGAAAAAATAAAGATATTAATAAATAAAATATTACTGATATTTTGTTTGTAATGAAAGTAGTAAATCGGTGGTTAGATAAATTGATAATGAATTTCCAAATTAATTGTCAATATTTGGAAAAAATAATTTTTTTTTCATTACTAACAAAAAAATACCATTTTTGTGCTAAACCATGGAGTTGACTCAATAAAAGCGGGTCTTCTCGGTCGAATTTTTTGGTAATTCGCTGTAATTTTATATATATGATATATATGTAAGTTTTAGGCATTCATGTACGTGTCAGGAGCTATTGAAGCTGGTAATTGTTCGATCTTGAGTTCGAATCTGTCCTGAATCTTCTTCTGCATAGCGACGTCTTCTTCAGTGACCACGAAGGAGATTGCAAGACCCTTTGTTCCGAATCTTCCAGCACGGCCAACACGGTGGAGGTAAGTATCGGTAGAATCTGGCATATCGTAGTTGATGACGATGTTAACTCTTTCTACATCGATACCACGAGCGATAAGGTCTGTAGCGACGAGAATGCGGTGCTTGAACTGCTTGAATTCGGAGAAAGCGCGAATACGGTCTTCCTGTGTCATGTTACCGGAGATAGCGATAGTTGGGTGGCCGCACTCGTTGAGGAGCTGTGTAAGATTCTTGGCGCGCTCCTTCTTGTCGAGGAAAATGACGACTTGGTTGAACTTGTAGTTTTCGAGAATCTCGACAAGCTTGCGGTTCTTCTCGTTCTCGGCCAACTTGACGTAGTACTGCTGGAGACCGTGAAGTGTAAGCTTCTTATCATCATCTACGTAAACTTCTGTTGCATTGTGTGTGAATGAGCGGCAGATCTCCTTCATTGAGTCTGGCATTGTCGCTGAGAATAAGAGAACTTGCTTGTCCTTTGGAAGTCTGTTGTATATCTTATCTACTGTATCCTTCATGTCCTGCTTCTCAAAGACCTTGTCGGCTTCATCGATGACAAAGAATTTGACCTTTGAAACATCTAAAACATCCTTTTCCTTAATGAGATCAAGGCATCTGCCTGGAGTGGCAACAACAATGCATGGCTTCTTCTCTTTCAGGGTGGCAATGTTGGTGGCTTTTGGAATACCTCCGTAAAATACTACTGAATCGACTCCTGGCATGAACTTTGTGAAACGTTGGAATTCTGTGGCAATCTGGAAGGCTAATTCTCTTGTTGGAGCAATTGTAAGGCAGGAAACTTCGCCTGGAACAGGATCAAGCTGTTGGAGAACGGAAATGACAAAAACGGCGGTCTTGCCCATACCTGACTTGCCTTGGCAAATAATATCTGTGCCAAGTAAGGCGTGTGGAATGCACTCTTGCTGGACTTGGGAAGGATGCTCAAAGCCGCAGTCGGAAATGGCGTGCATTAATTCTGGCTTAAGTAAGAATTCACGGAAACCTGTTGTGTGGACACCGACATAGTGGCCGCGCTGCTCTTTCTCCTTGTGTGGAGCAGCATCGACTGTTGAATCATCTTCGTAGTTCAATAACTCTGCATCAAGAGGATCGGCCATTTTTTTTCTAAAAAGTGAAATGGAATTAAACGGTCTCATAGTTGTTTTGATGTTTTATTATAATATTTGGATTACATTTCAATTATGTTGAATGATTACATTATAAATGCTCGGTTTCGTAAAAATTTTTATGATTTGACAACAAAATTCACTAACCATATTCTAAATCAAATTTTATCTATTTCAAGAAATAAATGTACTGTTAGAACTAATTGAATAGAAATATCTCTACATTATTGTTTAAATTATACCCTATATCCAAATTTTGCTGAGGCAATATAGCTGTCTATCTGTATAATACCAGTAACTTATTGATAAACAATATGCGGGATAGATCATTCTGATCAAAACAACGCTCACTAAAAATCCAATTAAGTTTACGAATTATAATGAAATTCATATACATTATATAACACAACGTCTAATTTAAATTCTAAAAGGATAATGTTTTAATCAATCTGTAGCAATAAAACAAATAATTTGCGAAATGAACAACAATCTTAATTATTTTAACTTTTCAGCAAATATAACACTTCTCTTTTTTATGTGATGGTGGTGGTTTGACTGTTTCTTTATTGGATGCTTGAACAGTTTGATTAGAAGGAGTAATTACAGTATAGGGTTTTCTTTTGACAATTGCACCATTGGAAAGGAGTAAGTCGCAGATAAGTTTATTATCGTTGATCGATGCAACATAATAAACTGAATCTCCATTCGTATTTTTTTCATTTACATTTGCACCATGTTGAATAAGTACCTCAGCCGTTTCTTTGCTATTATAATATGCTGCACTATAAAGAGCTGTATCTCCGTGGTAATTTTTTTGTCTACATTTATACCATGTGAAAGTAGAAATTCGGCAGTTTCTTTGCTATTATATCTTGCTGCGTAGTGGAGGGCGGTTTTTCCGTCTTTATCTGTTTCATTGATATCTGAACCACGTGAAATGAAATATTCGCAAAGTGATGAAATATCAAAACTCGCTGAATAAAAGAAGCAATTCTTAATATCATTTGTTTGATCGAAATAAACTAAAAATGATTCGAGATTATTATATTGTGCACACCTATATAAATCAATCTCGAAATTGTGCTCATTCTTCAAGAAAGTAACAAAATCAATATTGTGGGAAATAATTGCATATTCCATGCAAGTTTCGGTTGGTGTTTGATATTTCAAACATTCACTCATGATGTCTGGATTTCTGCCTAAAAATGATAATGAAAGGCATCTAAAAGTTATTTCTGAGTTAAATTTAGTTCTTAAGAACTTAAAACAATCAACTGCTCCATGGTAACAACACAATTCAATTAATGAATATTCACCGAAAGAAGCTGGATATAAACTGCTTTTAAGTTTTTGATCTTTATCAAAATCATCTCTTTCCGTGAATGCGATGAATCTTTCTAAGTCATTATTCATAATTGCTCTGTAAATTGTATTTTCTGTAAGAATTTCGATATTTTCATATCTAATATCTGTGAAACCATTTTGCAAATCTAATTTAATTCCATACGCTTTGTAAAATAGATAATTAGAAACAATTGGAGTGTATTTGACCTCTGTGATTTGATATTCATCAGAAATTAGTTTGGCAAGTTTCACGTATGCCGTTGCACCACGATTATTATATGGAAGGATATTTAAAATATCTCGTAGAATGTTTCTTGGTACATGTTTATTTGATTCAATTAATTCTGTTTTGATTTGTTGGTAAATCGAATTTATTTCTTCTTCGTCTTCCGTTTTTAGCTGATACAACGAAAAATACATATTGATATAGTATTTATAGGTATTTCTCAACTTACTGAATTCGTTTGAATCAGGGTTTTGATCAGACATTAATTAAGAGAAATATCTGACCAAACTGTTTGTATCTCAAAAAGTGACCCCTGGGGTAAAATACATCACATTATTGCGTGTCCACCCGAATGGCACAATGTTCCGCAAACTTATTCTGAATGAGGAACTTTGATCAACAAAATGCAGCAATGCATTGTTGTTGGTCTGAATGTGGCATTTTGTGAGATATTGTCTGTACAAGTCTCAATGAATAGAGTACTACTCCCCAAACATCACATTTTATGTAATTATCTACCCAATCATCATATTTTATGTGATTATCTGATAGTGTGTGTATCTCATATGAACAGACCAATAGAAATCAGTGAGATAGAAGAAATTAAAAGCATTTTTGATACGTTTCTCGTTTTTATTATTTGATATTCCTAATAAATACGCAGATTTGGCAATTTTGAGAACATTTTGTATTCATTTTTCCTAATTATTCAATTAATCATTCTTAAGAATTACTAATTTTTTTCACATTTTCCAAGAATTGCCAAGCTTGGCATTTCGTGTTGAAAAAATGCGTTTTTGATAATTCCTACATCCTTATATTAAACTATAAGCAAACAAATTTTGATTATTTCAAAAAAGAAAAAAATAATTACAATTTAATGTCTATTTCTCATATTCCAGATATAATATATAGCCCCAGCAAATGCGAAGGTAGTTGCTGATGCAATTGCGATATTTTGATAAATTCCGTTATTTCCGTAAATCCTTTTAAGATTTGGGTTAATTTCGCATGCTTGTGCATCCAATTCCAATGCTCTTTGGTGGCACTCGACAGTTCCTATTCCTTTGTAGAGATGTTGGGCTAATAACTGCATTGCTTCCGGATTTCCTGCTTTTACAAGGATTTCAAGGGATTCGACAGCTTCTATTGCTGGACCAATTCCGCCGGCGATAGGAGAAAGTAGTTTGGCCAGGTCAAACCTGACAATTAAGTCTTCTTTTGCAGATAAGTGTTCTTTCATCACTTTAACAGCTTCCTCCTTCTTATTTTGGTTTACATATGCCGTAGTAAGTGTTTGAGTAACTTCTGTGGTTCGATCTGCTGGTTTAATTGTTCTAAGTAATTTTAATGCTGCATCTACATCTTTTTTAACGTCGTAGTTATTGTAATCTGATAAAAGTATGTCAGCAACTGTTGTAATAGCTGTTACGAAGCCTTTTGTTGCACTTAAGTAGTAGTATTTGTAAGCTTCTTCGTATTTTGCACAACCATCATTGTAAACACCGATTAAGTAGAGAGATTTATTATCAATACCTCTCATAGATGGTTCTTTTATCAAAATTGGCCATCTAGCTGTATTTTCTTTCGTTAATTTGATTATGTATTTATTATTTTCGACAGTCGTTTCAAATTTGTAGAATTTTCCGTATGTAAGTCCCGAAATAATAACATCATTTTCACCGGAAATAACATATATCGAACTTTCTTGTTGATTTATCAAAATTTGTGGTTTAACATTATTTTCGACCGTGAATTGTATAATAGCAACTTGATTTGTTTGTGAAAATTCATAGAGCTCTGTAATACCTTTAGCTCCTCCCACTGCTCTCTCTAAATCAATCATTTTGTCACTTTTAATTAAATTATCGTCACTTTTTGTTATTATTTTAAAAAATTGCAAGTGTTTCAGATCAAACGCAGCATGCAACATTTAAACATTAGCGGTATAGTTTTCATCAATACCGCAAGTGGCGTCCAAATCCGAGATTTTCATCAATATTTCGAAATCTTGTAGAAAAACTCAATATGTCATATATTTTGCATGGCATTCACATTATTCATATATTTCTCTGCATATTATATCACCCAAATAAACAGATATCGTAGAAAATCTTAAAAAAAAAGGAAGAATTTTAGTGTCAAATTTTCAATGTTAAAAAAAATATATTGGAAAGCGACGTAACTATATTCAATTCTTAAAATGTCTGTTATGATTTTTTTTTCTGATGATCAACCGCAAACTTACAATCTTGTAAACTTCAGAAAGATGAACAAGACCCTGGTATCTCTTAGGATAGCGGGGATGCAGCAACCTCTGCTTGTTAACCCCTTACGTTCACTTCTTTCTTATACATCAATCAAAAACTTCCAAATTTCCAAATCTTTTTCAACATTTTTACAAGAAAAATCATTAGGAGGTGAATTAAGCATCACTAGGTCAAAATTCAACAAATTCCTTGATAATGTCGTCAAAGTAGATTCTAATTATGACTTCATTGGTGTTGCTCAAGCAGAACATCAAACAGTATACGGACATAACCTTAATATCATTATCTTGGAGAGCTCTTTCACGCACTGCTCTACAACGCAGGGCAATGGTGGAGCTCTTTTCCTCGACCGAAAGACTCTAGCCATTCGTTTTGACAGATGTTCTTTCCAAAAGTGCACTACAAAGAAATCCGGAGGTGCTTTCTACGGTATTATTGAAAATCTCACCTGCACGCGTACATGCTTTGATTCCTGTCAAGCAACGGAAGCTGGCCACGCTTATTTCCTATGTTTCCACAAATTTAACGATACAGGAAACTTCTCACAGTGCTCCTTCTCTCAATGCGCCACCAATACGAAGCTGATCGGCAAGTCTGCCTGCTTCTTGCTCTCAGGAACCTTCAGAAATACCCTTATTAACGCTACAAAGAACCACGCGCTTACCCTCTCATCAACATTTGGTTCTATCAGCTCCACCAATGTTTCCATCTCATTTTCGCTCATTGCAAACTCATCATCAAATCATATTCTCAGATTTGTTGAGTTAAATGAGTCCCTTGTCCTTGGTTTCTGTAACTTCATCGGTAATAAGGCTTCCGTTTCACTAATGCAGTCAACTTCCCGCAATAATATTATTAATTGCGTTTTTATCGATAACCAAGTCACTTCTATATGCACAGGCCTCATTACATACTTGCAGATGACCGACTGCGTACTCGATGTCAAGTATTCCTTCTTCGGGCTCGCTTATATCAGAACTCCTGGAATTAAATTCGACGAAAACGTCCAACCACTACCTCTCCGCATGGAATTTGCCTCTGGATGCCGTATCCTAGGTGAACATGACGGAATCGAGAACGAGGACCATGTTAAACGCATTATTGAACAAATTCCAGAGAATAACCGCAAATTCATCGACTTATACATAGACAGAATGGCCTTTACAGTACCACATCCAACACCGCGTGACAAGCAGCCCGTTCCAGAAGAAGATATCCTTACGAAATCTGTTTCCACGCAGAAAGTGACCATAGAACCACAAGACGAGCCACAACCGAAGTCACGAGACAGGTCCAGTGGCCGATCACAGTTTATCATCACTCCTTACGTCGGACCGAAGAGATTGACCAGTTCCGGTATGAAACAACCGAAACTCTTTGCTCCTACAGCATCATTCTCTCCTTCAGACACGTTCTACATCTCCAGAACGTTCCTTCCTTCGCTACAGTTCACTGCATCTGTATCTCCAGCACAATCTTTAGTTCCTTACGTACTTTATTCAGCGGCAGGCTTCGTAGTGTTCGGTGTGTTGACTTCCTTCTTGTTCTTGAGGTCTTCAGACACTGGATACAACTTGATGACTCCATCTGAGTCTGCTGACTCAAGAATCTCTGACTACGCTTCATCTACAAGCACCACTGTCACTATTACTGGTGAAAGTTCTGCTTCTGTCGTTGTTTAATACTTGTTTTTTTCCTTTTTTTGTAAAATTTTGCGAAAAATATATTTTGTTTATTTATCATGATATGTAGACCTATATATGTGATTGACAAATAAGTTTAAGGGATCACCGCCTTAATTTACAAAAATGTACATTCTGAGTCTTCTTTTTTTTAATCTTTTTTAGATTTTGAAACAGTGAAACGATAGAGTATGATCAATGTATGCTATATTTACATTTATTCATAAAAATATTAATTCTATCAGAGAGAAAAAATACATTTAAATGCAAAAAAAATTGAATAGTTGTAAACTTAGGCAGTTAGCCCTTAGTTTATCCAAAATTTTTCATCTAGTTTATAAGAATTAAGCTAACTGGGATATTTATTCACGAAATTTATGGAAATGAGTTCATAAATTCCAAAGGAATAATATTAGTCAAAAAAAATTTTTTTATTAGTCAAAAATTTTAATGTTAACACTAATGCCTCCAAGTGATCCCCTTACTAAAGCATGCGAAGAAGGAAATCTCGAACGAATTAAATCTCTTATAGAAAGTGGTTACTATAAAGTAAAATCATTAGATTTACCACTCATTTATGCATCAATAGAAGGTCATCTTGAAGTTGTTAAATATCTTATCTCAGTTGGAGCTGATAAAGAAGTAAAGAATTATTATGGAGATACTCCATTCATTAAAGCATCAGAATATGGTAGACTTGAAGTTGTTAAATATCTTATCTCAGTTGGAGCTGATAAAGAAGCAAAGAATATTTTTGGATATACTCCACTCATTTCTGCATCAGCTAAAGGTCATCTTGAAGTTGTTGAATATCTTATCTCAGTTGGAGCTGATAAAGAAGCAAGTGGTGGACTTGATAAAGGTACTCCACTCATTTATGCATCAATAGAAGGTCATCTTGAAGTTGTTAAATATCTTATCTCAGTTGGAGCTGATAAAGAAGTAAAGAATTATTATGGAGATACTCCATTCATTAAAGCATCAGAATATGGTAGACTTGAAGTTGTTAAATATCTTATCTCAGTTGGAGCTGATAAAGAAGCATAGAAGAATGTAAAAACTCCACTCATTCATGCAGCAGAAAATGGTCATCTTGAAGTTGTTAAATATCTTATCTCAGTTGGAGCTGATAAAGAAGCAAAGGATGTAAATGGATCTACTCCACTCATTTTTGCATCAATTAATGGTCATCTTGAAGTTGTTAAATATCTTATCTCAGTTGGAGCTGATAAAGAAACAAAGAATAAAGATGGATATACTCCACTCATTCATGCAGCAGAAAATGGTCATCTTGAAGTTGTTAAATATCTTATCTCAGTTGGAGCTGATAAAGAAGCAAAGGATGTAAATGGATCTACTCCACTCATTTTTGCATCAATTAATGGTCATCTTGAAGTTGTTAAATATCTTATCTCAGTTGGAGCTGATAAAGAAACAAAGAATAAAGATGGATATACTCCACTCATTAAAGCATCAGAATATGGTCATCTTGAAGTTGTTAAATATCTTATCTCAGTTGGAGCTGATAAAGAAACAAAGAATAAAGATGGATCTACTCCACTCATTTATGCATCACAATATGGTCATCTTGAAGTTGTTAAATATCTTATCTCAGTTGGAGCTGATAAAGAAACAAAGAATAAAGATGGATCTACTCCACTCATTTATGCATCACAATATGGTCATCTTGAAGTTGTTAAATATCTTATCTCTGTTGGAGCTGATAAAGAAGCAAAGAATAATTATAGATATACTGCACTCTCACTTGCAAAAGGTAAAGTAAGAGATTATCTAAAATCTATTGGAGCCAAATAATATAATCTAATCAGATAACATAATCATATTAAAACTAACAATATTCTTATTTCCAATATATTCTTCATATGAATATTGTTTATTATTTATTGTTTATTTTTCATTTAATTCATTAATTAAAATAAACAATTTTCTTATTCATATTAATCAACAACAAAATAATATCAAATATCATTTTATCAAGTTCCTGATATTTCTTCTTCTATTAAAAATTACACATTTTATTTTTAAGTTTCGAAGTGCATAATCAGAGGAAAAAAAGTTATTTGGATCATAATACTTTAATTTATGAATCTTTGACGCATATAAAGTATTATTTGATGCTAATGCACTTAATGACGCTTGAACAATTCTGACTTACAACTATTACGATAACTTTTCCATTGAAGACATTTTTGTTAATAACAACATTTTTTGTGTACAGTCATTGGATATTCCCTCGAAATTGTTGACTTTATCAACCAAGAGGTTAATACAATGGACATAATTAACTAAATGCAATTAATTTTTATATTTTAGCATCAGTGATACTCACTTTTTAGATTCATGTATAATCAATATAAAGATATTGATCAAACACAACTTAAAGATGGTCAATCTAAAGATGTTGATTATATTAAACAATAGCACGATATATAGTTTCTTTCTATTATACAATAACTTTGTTTAAACTTTTCAATGATTTATTAAAATTGCAAATTCAAAATAATGCTATGACTATTATACTGTGTATCTATGCGACTAAGAAATATATTGTAGTTTTATTCAAATATAAAAAACAGAAGATTAAAAAAAAAAGAAATCAAACTTTATTTTCAGCTTCAATGTTACTGAAACCATTTTGTCTATTCTTTTTATTATATAACACGAAAAAAGAAACAATAACAATTAAAACTACTACTACAGATATACAAGAAATCAAAATAATTGTTGTTTTTCCTTTTGAGGAGTTATCTTTTCCACATTGTTTGTATTTTGATATTTTCTTTCCAAATAAATTGCCTTCGTATTCTTCGTTTATATTGACACAATGAATATTGTCTGGATTTGACATATTGCCTGATATTTCATTCGATCCTAAATAAGTGAATTCATTAAGCCTTAAAAATTCGGAATTTCCGGAATTAATTTCTTTGATTTCGCATGAAATGTTCATAAAGTTGATTTTAGTATACTCCATTCCAGATGTTATAGGATATATTGTTATTTTATCACTGACATTTACAATATTCAAAGTAATTTGATATAAATAATATGAAACATATATTTCAGAAATATCTGATGAATTGTATCTTATTTCTGTTAAATTTTTGAATGTGATAAATGAATCGTCATCAATTACAAGATTTGATGTGATTTGAACTGATTTCACTCCATAACAGCCAGAAAATGATGATTTCTCAATTCGTTGTAGCGATCTTGGAAAATACAGCTCTGTGATAGATGAACATTCAGAAAATGCCATCTTTCCTATAATTTTAAGTGTTTCTGGGAAAATTATTTTTAATTTCTTGCATGAATAGAAAGACATTAAATGAATCTCTTCTAAATTATCTGGTAGTCTCAAATCAATTAGGTTTTCACATGAATCAAATGTGTAATTTTCAATAATTTTCATATCTTTTGGTAATTTTACGGATTTCAAATTTTTGCAGCTATAAAATGCTGAAGCACAAATTGTAGCTTTGTATCCATTGAATAAAACACTTTCGAGTGTTGTACATAGATAAAAAACTTCTTTATTTAATGTAATATTTGAATTAAAGATTATAGATTTAATTTGAGATTGGTAGAAACAAGATGAGTTAAGAGAAACTAATGATGCAGGAAAAATCAATTCTTCTGAAAGACTTGAGTGAGAAAATGCGAAATCTTCAATATTTACTAAACTATCGCCGAAATCAATTCTATCTAAAAGTGGACAATATGCAAAAGCGTTGAATTCTATATTTTTAACATGTATTAATTTGACTTTTTTTATGTTTTTCGAAGATCGAAAACATCCTGATGGAATTGTTTCTATTTTAGGAGGAATAGTTATTTCTGTTAATGAATCACATTCACTAAATGCTATTTGACCAATTGACTCCAATGAATAAGGAAGATTTATTGAAGATAAACTTGAACAAGAATAAAAAAACAGCTGATTCTAAATTCTTGATTGTTTCTGGAATATTTATTGTTGATAAACTTGTACATGAATAAAAAGATCCTGGACCTATATATTTGATTGTATTTGGAAGATTAATTGTTGTTAGTGATGAACAACTTGAAAAAGCTGTAGAATTTATTGTTTCAAGAGAATTTGACATAATTATTTCAGAAAGTGAAATACATTGTTCAAATCCACTTTCTTCTATTGTTTTTATATTCTTTAAATCGATTTTTTGGAGTTTTGTGCAATTAAAAAAGCAAAGTTTAGAAATCTTTGTTAAAGTTGAAGGAATATCAATTTTTGTTAATGAAACGCAGTTGCAAAAAGCTCCCTTGTCGATTGTTTGTGTAAAATCTGGGATGTTGATGGTTTGTAAATTAATTGTTCCATTAAATGCGTAAGAACCGATTTTTAATGTTTGTGATGTTAATTGGAAGTTTACTGTTATGAGATTGGAAAGTCCTGCAAATGATTTGTCTCCAATTTGGGTGATGTCTCCTGTTATTGTTGCTTTTTTGAGGTTTGTTGGCAGTTCATCGAACCCTGTGAAGATTCCATCGCCACTGATAGTAGCTTCTGTTTTGTCATCATTAAATGTAACTGTGGTGGTAGCAAGAAGACAAAAAACAAAAGACATTTGTAGTAAAATTTTGAAAAATCAAATGAATTATCAATTATTTTTTGTAAACGATTCAACAATAACCGCCCCGATCATTTACCATAAAAATTGAGATATCACTTTGAATATACGATTTTTCAAATATCATCACATATATAGTTATAGAATAAAATATTTCAAATTTTATATTTAGTGATCAACAATCTATAAGGAAATGTATTGTTTATGTTTATTCAGTCTATCCATTAACAGTGTACATATGTTAATGCATAACTAACAAAGATTAACTGGATAAAATCGCACTTTTTCGACGAAAATGAAGGAAATATGTGTCTTGTATTGCTCTGCAGTTTTTTAATGTGTAGTAGATGTATATGATGTTGTGCTTTATAGTAAAAGTGAATTCATATGTTGCTCAACTTAGTTTACTTTAAATAAAATTAATTTTGCATTGTTTTAATGATAATGTCTGCAGATATATCAAGCTGTTATTATTCATGAAACTTGAATCAACAGATTGCTAACTTGTTTTATGCCTGACGATTGATATAATTATCGATGAAATCATCTGGTTCTGATAAAGGAAACTCAATGCTATGCAATAATTTATAAGTCATTGTTGAAGAATTCATTTGGAATTTTTAAACATTTTGAAATGAAATTTTATAGATATATTTTCATAAAACATATAACAATGAGATTATTTTTAATCTAAATTTCGATTTTAAAATTTTTCGGATTTTTTGTAAAGTAACGGTTTTTCTCAAACGAATCAGTTCATGAATCTGAATTACGAATACATTGCTGCTCATCTAAGTGATTATATTCAAAACGAAAACTTTTTTGATACATTCGATATCAGAGATATCAAAAGAATCATGAAATATTCACGTTTGACTGTAGATGAGTACGTTACTCTTCTTAAACAGTCTTCATCAACTGTCAATGCCAAAGAATTATATATCAGTACACGAAAAGCAAATGTTACTATCCAAAACTTCGAAGAAGTTGTTTCAATTCTTAACTTCGTCAAAAAGTACATGAAATTCCATATATTTGATGGAATCATTGATTTCATCAATGAAAACGACAAACATATGCGTGATTCTAAAGAAGAAATCAAACAACCTCAAACAGAAATAAAAACATTACAGAATCAAATACAAAATTCTGCCAAAGAAACTACAGTCACTCGAACTAATGAAGATCACAACTACTCTAGTGAATTTTTAACCAAAATCTCATCACTTAAAGAAACCAATGATTTTGATCGTGTTTACCAATTCTTTGAAGAACTTTCTTCTCAAGGAAATCGTGAAATTATTTCAAAGGCTTGTGAAGAAGGACTTTGGAAGAAGACAACAGATTATGGAAAGAATGTACTTCATATTGCAAGTGAAAAAGGAAATCTTAATCTTGTCAAATCACTTATTGAATGTGGCTGTGATAAAGAAACAAAGAATCAAAATGAATATACTCCACTCATTTCTGCATCAGAAAATGGTCATCTTGAAGTTGTTGAATATCTTATCTCAGTTGGAGCTGATAAAGATGCAAAGAATAAATTTGGATATACTCCACTCATTTCTGCATCAAAGAATGGTCATCTTGAAGTTGTTAAATATCTTATCTCAGTTGATGCTGATAAAGAAACAAAGAATAAAGATGGATCTACTCCACTCATTAAAGCATCACAATATGGTCATCTTGAAGTTGTTAAATATCTTATCTCAGTTGATGCTGATAAAGAAGCAAAGGATGTAAATGGATCTACTCCACTCATTTTTGCATCAATTAATGGTCATCTTGAAGTTGTTAAATATCTTATCTCAGTTGATGCTGATAAAGAAGCAAAGGATAAATTTGGATATACTCCACTCATTTTTGCATCACAAAAAGGTCATCTTGAAGTTGTTAAATATCTTATCTCAGTTGATGCTGATAAAGAAGCAAAGAATAAATTTGGATATACTCCACTCATTTCTGCATCAAAGAATGGTCATCTTGAAGTTGTTAAATATCTTATCTCAGTTGATGCTGATAAAGAAGCAAAGGATAATTTTGGATCTACTCCACTCTTTTCTGCATCAGAAAATGGTCATCTTGAAGTTGTTAAATATCTTATCTCAGTTGATGCTGATAAAGAAGCAAAGGATGTAAATGGATCTACTCCACTCATTTTTGCATCAATTAATGGTCATCTTGAAGTTGTTAAATATCTTATCTCAGTTGATGCTGATAAAGAAGCAAAGGATAAATTTGGATATACTCCACTCATTAAAGCATCAGAATATGGTCATCTTGAAGTTGTTAAATATCTTATCTCAGTTGGAGCTGATAAAGAAACAAAGAATAAAGATGGATCTACTCCACTCATTTATGCATCACAATATGGTCATCTTGAAGTTGTTAAATATCTTATCTCAGTTGGAGCTGATAAAGAAACAAAGAATAAAGATGGATCTACTCCACTCATTTATGCATCACAAAAAGGTCATCTTGAAGTTGTTAAATATCTTATCTCAGTTGATGCTGATAAAGAAGCAAAGGATAAATTTGGATATACTCCACTCATTTTTGCATCACAAAAAGGTCATCTTGAAGTTGTTAAATATCTTATCTCAGTTGATGCTGATAAAGAAGCAAAGAATAAATTTGGATATACTCCACTCATTAAAGCATCAGAATATGGTCATCTTGAAGTTGTTAAATATCTTATCTCTATTGGAGCTAATAAAGAAGCAAAGAATAATAATGGAAAGACTGCTCTTGATGTTGCAACTGGTTCTGTGAAAAAATACTTTTTGGATGACAAAACAGAATAGAGAATAATTATAGACAATGATAATATCTATTGAAGTTCAATTATATGTCTTAAAAATAATCAATATCCATTTGAGATTTGTGTTAAACATACCCTTTGTTCCCTTGAATTCCGGCACTTTTTTCTCTTAAAAAAATTGACTTGTGCTTATTTAAAAGAGTTAAATGATTGATTTTCACTATCGAAACTATTAATTTTTTACAATGGTAAAATATTATGTCAAGTATAAATATTATTGAAAGCTTTCGAGTTATGTGCTTAATATTTAAGGCTCCATGGGCAACAAATTTTGTGAGTTCTAAAATTCCTTTTTTCCAATGATTCATTTTATAACTTAAACGTGTCAGTCTCTCTGAATACAAACTTCGATAGATAATTTTCACTAAAAATCTTCTTAATCTAATATATACACTCTCTGATTAATTGAATGTAAAACTCAGAGGAATTTCCTATAACAATTCGAAACTTAAAACATAATTATGATGCTTTTATCAAATCAAAGAGTTTATTTCAAGTTTTCTGGGAAATTCTTTGGTAATTCACTCGCTGCGCATGCAATTACTGTATCATCGTTTGGTTTGCAGTCCTGAATGAATGTTATTGTTGCAAATTCGTCAATAACTTCTGTAGGATATGCAGGACCTTCTTCACGATACTTTTCCATCAATGGAATATGATCATTCTGGAAACAAACAGTCTTCTTTGGATCATTCATAATCCAGCGTGGGAAGAAAATTGTACCATGGAAGAGTTTATCGCCAAGATTGACAATTAAACTTACATCTGTGCCTGTTGGTTCTGTCCAAGAGATTTTGTAAATACTTTGGCCAACTCTTGCGATAAAAACGCGCTGATCCTTAACCCAGCGATTGCCAACAATGCCACTATGAATTCTGTAATCCATTGTTTTATCATTTTTAATGTAAATTTCATAATTCCAGCCATTATCATATGTGTATACGAGATGCTTGCCTATGAAGCCACTGAGATCATGCTTATCAAAGGATGTCATGTGAAAGTGAATTGAAAACGAATACGATTCTCAAAGTGATATTTTGAGAAGAATTAACCTCGGTACTATTCAAATTATTTTCGGTTGTTGATTCAATCAACGAATATTCGTTCATTCAATAGTTGGATTTTATAAATAACTTGCAGAAGATTAAAATTTTCAAAGTTCTCAATTTTGAAACCCCAAAAAATTTTGAGGATCGAAATTTTCCCAAACTCTAACATCTGTTTCGGCAACCAAATCTCTCATATGCATATACACTTTTAGTTTGCTTTCAAAGTAGATTCGTCTATTTGTCCTTATTATTGAAATTTCATAAAATGCAAACAATTAAACAATTCCGACCAAAGAAGTATAGTTGTTTTTCTTGCAAAATTCTATTGCATGGAATGCAATCGATGAATTCATTAATTTTTTTCAAATTTAATTATTTTTATCACAAACTGACTAGTTTTATAATACTTGAATTCATTCATTGGATTTCGATTAAAATGTGACGTATTCTTTGATTCTATTTTGATTGAAATCTATAAAATATAACTTATATTTAGAGAACTTTTCCAAGCTTGATGCATTAATTCGTTATTTTTGATTGAGGTAATGATTTTCTCAGTAATCATTCATGATACCATAACATCATCTTTAAAAGTTATCTTTGATATAAAAATAATTCAAATAAAAAAAATATAACTTTTACTTATTAGGTCGTTTCCAAGCATTTGGCTTATGACTTTGTTGACTAGAATTAACACTTAGGCCAGAGAACATCGATGATGGTTTCTTTTGCTGAGGTTGTTGTTGTGGAGGTGCTTGTTCAATAACAAATTCTTCATTACTATCATTTTGAGGAACTTGTTGTTGTTGTTGAACTTGTTGTTGTTGCTGAACAACTCTTTGTTGTTGAGAAGCAGCAGCCAATGCCTGTGCAGCTGATTGAGGAGCAGCTTTAGGAAGTACTTGAGGTCTCTGTACATTTTGCTGTTGTTGTCTTCCCTGAATATTCTGTTGCTGTGTTCCAAAAATGTCAGCTGTTGAATCATCATCAATTGAAGGAGTTTTCGGTTGAGGAGCAGTTGCTTTTTGTAGCATTTCTCTTGCAGACATTTCCGGCTGCTGTTGGTCCTTTGATCCCCATTTAACTGGCTTCTTTGTTCCTCCTTCCGCCAGTTTTCTATCTCTCTTTACTTTCTCAATAACATTTGTTATAGAGTTGCACAATCTCATTTGAACTTGCACGTCAATCTGGTTGTTCGCCAACAACAAAGATGCGAGAGGAATGACTTGTTTAAGTCCTGCATCTATTGTTGCCCTCAGTTTCTCAAGAATCTCTGCCATTGGGTCAGCCAAATCAACAGTTGTTGGCCTTTTAACAACAGCTTCAGAAAGTTTTGGCAAAATGGTCGATGCAAACCAATCTTGGTCTACTTTATCAACAGCGAAAGTCAAACATTGTATGCAAGCAATGATTGACTGTACATCTGATGAATTAGAAATGAATTCGCCCAATTTCGGAAGCAGATTCGTTTGAATTGTCGAATTAGAAAGATGAGAAATCAAAAGAGGCATTTTGTTGATTGCTTCAAGCATAAGTTTGCGAACACCACTCTGCAGGGCACTCATGTATATAGGATATACAACATCGTATGTTTTGTCATTGGAAATCTTTGAAAAAATGTCTTCAATGACAGAAAAAACCGAAACTAAAACTTCCGGAGGATTTGTGCAAGTAAGAGCAGGTCCTAGAGGGATAATGACTTCGTTATAGAAGTCCGATGGGTCCATGGTCATTGCTACTTTGACAGTGAGTGGAATAAGGATTGGTCCGTACTTGATTTCATCTTGAACTTCTTTTATGAACAAAGGAGCGAATTTGTAGCGAAGCATACGTCCAGAAAATAAGTGTAATGCATTGGGAAGGTTCTTATAGAACTGGAATCTGTCTGCTTGGTCTTTTGTAATAATTAGATCGAGATACTTGAAAATTCTTGATTCCATTGATAGGAATGCGTTGCATTTAGCAATGGTTGAAAAGTCTGGACGTTGGTTTGGATCAATGTTTAAGCATTGTAGTAATAAATCTTTTAATTCTGCAGGAGTGTTAGGAGGAATCTGCATTGGTGCGGTTTGAGCTTGCGCAACAAGATCTTGAGAGTTTGATGGACTGAAAGCAATCCTTTTAAGTAGCATTGAGATAAGTAAGCTGCCATATGAAAAAACATCTGATGTAGTAGTAATTTGTTTGTTTCCAACAAGTTCTGGTGAACAAAATGAAATGCTTGGTTGTGTTGGTAAGTTAGCAAATGCTCCGATTCTGCTTCCTACAAGTCCTTGTTCATTTATAATCGGAGATGCAAAATTAAATTGGCAAAATTTGACATCAAATGATTTGGTAAGGACTACTGTTGATTGTGAAAGACCTAGATATGAAATCTTGGCTCCTGTATGTAAAAATTCGAAAGTTTCAGCGAGTTGTAGAGCAATATATTGAACTTCATCCATTGAAAAGTTTGCTTCATATTGGAAAGAATACTGTACGGGTTCTGCTGCAAAGGCAAGCTGTGATATATTTTCATTAAATTCGAAAATCTTTAAGATATGAGGATGCATCAGTCGCCGCATTTGTTGTATAGAGTCCATACAAGATTTTAGATAGTTTTCTCGATCTGCTTTCTTTGAAACAGATTTCTTTAATTTATCTTGATCAATCACCCATAATGATACTTTTTCTCCCGTTTCTTTTTTGTTGGCAGAGTGTACATTCCAAAAGTCTAATGTAAATAAAGGATTTATGTTTTCATAGTTGTCAGAGATTCCATTACCCATTTTTCGATTTTTTTTTAGATCAAAAAATTTAAAATCGCTTTCAGCGTAATATTTAGCATGTATCTATCCAGTTTTATATAAATATTTAAAAATCAAGCTCATCAATCAATAAATTTAGAACAAGTCTGTTATGGTGCAATTGAATTTTGTTATTCTTTTAAAAGTTTATATCTATGAAATAAAAAATTACAAAATGTAAGTATAACTTAAGGAAATAAAGAGATTTTTAAAAATTTATATCAGAATCTACCAAATAAAAACATTTCAGTAATTCGCAATTAATCAGATAAGGATCAATAAATAGTGCATTCATACAGTGATCTTTGATATCGCTTATTTTTTGACTTTTTATCAAATTTTCGGATAATAAACCAAAAATATAATACAGAATTGGATCAATTGATTCGGTTGAGTGATTGTGTTAACGTACGGTAGCCATGTCTTATAATTTCGAAAGTATATATAATTAAATATCGAACGCAAAGATCATTGGCAAAATTCGAGTGACAAACATTCATGGCAAACGCGTGTGATTTCGGGTACTTCACTGTATCCAGATATTTGAAGTCTGGCTCAGAACTTCAGAGTACTTCACCCAAAAATGTTTTGTTTTTCTCAATTTTCATATATTTGAGGGAAACTAAAATCCGTCTTAATAAAATTGAGAGATGTGTTATTAAAATCATATGAAATTTAGATATAAATCAAAATTAAATTTAGAAAATTTTGAAAAAAATAAAATGAGAGAATGTCTATTTCGAAAAAAATAATCGTCTTTCGGTCTATTTCGAAAATAATCGTTCCGATCACGACGATAGACATTAAAATGCATAATTCTCCACCATAGAGTTATTTTAGATCCTTGGCTTTTTAGGCGCTACTAAAGCATACTATTTGCAATCTATTTATATAATAAAAATACTATGTTATGCTTTTTTATGAGATTAATTAGAAGATTGCAAGACAAATTATGATATTTCTCACTATTTTCACATATGATCAGATAGCCTAATACTAATACTAACGTTTTGTAACTGTTCTATTGTGTTAATACATAAAAAGTATTATGCTTATTTAATTCTAAAAAAAAATATTGTGTTTATAAGATAACAATATATTATTTGTGCTAACATATACGAGGATATAACAATAACGCTGTTGTTTAGCCCAAATATATTGTATTTAATATAAAAAATATTATCAATTATTATTTGTGTTTGCAACGAGGCCTTTAATAAATACATAGTTTAAGGTGATGATTCACAATAATAAAATGTGATAATTCTCTTAATTTTTTTTATTATTATGAAATATTTAGCATATCATTAATATAATGGATGATCTGAATTGTATTAAGGAAATCTAAATCTATTCAATGATTAAAATTCGATATAAATCGAGTTAAATCGCAATTGCATAAATTGATTAAGATATTAGGTAGATAGCTGTGGTACATCATTTAAATAGTAATGTTTATGAGTGTGTATATGCACAATTTGTGAAAAAACAGTTTTTTGTCTCATATTTCAAAAAAATATCAATAAATCGATTATTAGACAGAATGCTTCACCAGTAATGATTGCGTTACGTTATAAATTAACAATTTTGGCCAATCATTCATCTAAAATTGTCAAGAATTTAAAATTTGAATAAAGTTGTTGATTTTATAAGAGATATATATGAGAATTTATCTTTAAAATTAGTCACTTGCTATGATATATAAGTGGTTTATCTTAAAAGGTAATATCTATCAAAATTGATTACAAATTTTTGAGAAAAATCATAAATTTTCGCAGAAATAACATTAGATACAAATATTAAACTTGATCTACTTACTCAAAAATTCCAAAATAATTTTAGATTTATGATTTTCAAAGATTTTTTAACAATTTTTCAATTTCTTTTTTATTTTTTGAAAAAAATTTGGAAATTTCACATCATTAAATCACGTTTTTACTATTTCACTAGTTATTTTTACGTTAAGTTGTAATGAATTTACTTATTTTTAAGTGAAAATATAAAATAATGTCAATATTTTAAAAATAATGAGGAATTAGCAAGAATGATCAATGTAACTCTTTCATATATCATCAATTACTACTTGTTCTTTTCATTTATAGTGAATGAATATGGTTGAATGCTGCTAACGTATTCATTAACAGCTAAAGTTGAGAACGGGAACATCAAATACTGATTCGAAACAGATTACATTGATGAACTCGTCTCTATTTAATCATTCAAATTCATATTTCTCGATTATTATTACAAACTCTCTCAAATTAAGCAAATTATACATCATTTTATCAACATTACAATTGCAATCTACATTCAATACGAAATTCAAACGAAATTCTCCATTATTACAATATTTTGATTCATAAATTAACGAAAATGAAATCTTTTATAAATTTCGAATAACCAAACAACGTATAACTCAAATGTACAATCAATAAATGAATTTCAAAGTTTTTTACAGATTCAAAATATCTTTTTAAAATATTCTCATTATCAGCTTCCTTTATGCTCGCATTACACTACAGATATATTTTGTCAGGCAACTACTTTAGTAAGTCTCCAAACAATCATCAATACATATCATATATAATGAAATTATGATTTTATATAAGAACTTGAACACTTTCTTTACTATATATTTACCTCGGCCTAGACGAGTTATGATCTATGCATATATTCATTCACTTCAAAATGCAATCTTTAATAATTTCGCCCTCTATCGTCGTGATCGGGACGATTATTTTCGAAATAGACCGAAAGACGATTATTTTTTTCGAAATAGACATTCTCCCAAAATAAAATTCCAAAATAATGTGCAATATAATATGTATCAATTATGAAAGTGATATTCATCATATCCAAAGTCATTTTTTCTTATATCAGATTTTCTCAGATCCGTGTTTTGGAACTTTTATCGCTTTGGGAGGGCGCTTTGCGCCCTCCCAAAGCGAAAGAATCCAAAATAACCCGATTTTAAATTTTGAGATCGAAATCTCTAATTTTTCCCATATAATAACATACTTTTTAATAAAAAAATGTATAGTACCAACTTTGCGGATCTTCGATCCGCAAAGTTGGTACCTAAAGCGTTATAGACTAACCCATGAATGGAAAATTCAAATTTTCAATTTTTAAAATATCATACATCAAATAGTAAAGTTAGTATATATCATGTTTAAAACCATAATATCGTCAAAATCGAAAATTTTAAAAACAAATAATATTTAATTTTCACAAAAGATTGGTATATAAGCAATCTATTGGTATATCTTTACTTCTTATTAGATTCTCGTCCTAACTATATGCAGCAATCATGTAGGACCGGAGCCTTAATTATAAGTCATGAAAACTCTTATTGATGGATATATTCAATTTTAATTAATGAACTCGTCTAATGTTATATGAGGGATGATAAAATGCATCAGAATGAGGCTTTGTCTGAACATTAACTTCACAAATATATGATGAAAAGTGAGAAAGTTTTTGAATAGAAGATGTATTTGTAACATTATTTGTTGTAACTGCTCCTTTTGTTTTATCAATTCTGTCACAGAAAGAATCTTTAACTGTAATTGAACCAGGACCATATTGATAAAATTCTACTCCTGACCCTGTGCTTCCAAGAAATGAACAGTTTTCAATAAGAACAGTTGAATAATATGAACGCAATGTTCCATAATTAGATTCTTTTTGTTCATTATTCAAAACATTACAAAAAATTAAATTAAAGTTACCACCACTTAATTCTAAAATTTTATAATTTGATGTTGTGTTACAAAATGATGAATATGTTACGTTACATAGAATTACTTCCGGTGACACATATATTCCTGGGTTATTTCTTGCTTCACATAAACTTGTGTTAATTGATTTAAGGATACCCTTACATTGCGTAGTTAGAAAGAGAATATGATATTGTCATGATTGCTAAAGTTTTAGGCTCCAGAAATGAATATACATCAAACTGAAACAATTGATAAATTGAATGAACTTTTGAGAGGTTCTCAAATAAAAAAAATTATCTAATTTTTTACAATATTACTATTATTTTATCCACATATGTATATATAGTAATTTGAGAAAACTTTTAGGAAAAAATAAGTTTAATAAAAATCTGAATTTTACTTGTTGTGGGATTGTTATTAATTGACACTCCAGACGTATTACTAATAGTTATGCGTATGCAATTAAAGTATTTCTGATGGACAAAATGTGAGATTTATATCAGATAATTCATTTCTACTATTAAGTTATTCATTTATGAGTTTGCACTTATTCGCACTAAATAAATAACTATTAAAAATTGTTTTAATTAATTGACACCATATAATAGAGTGAATTTTGTTTGATCAAACAACAATAGATGATAGATATAAAGCCAAGAAACTTGCTATTAATATGCTCTACTTGCTATTTCAATGTAAGTATGATATTTTCTAAATGTTTCGTTCAGATAACTTAGATATATTAGTCAAAATTTGAAATTTTAATAGCACATATATTAAAAATAATTATTATTCATAAAAGATTAATGAAATAGTAAAAAAAATCAATCAAATTATAAAAATACAACATATGGTTTTTTATGGTTGTCTCATAATAGCATTTCATGAGAAAAAATATAATACTATTTATTTTTGCATAGTTCAATTTTTTTAAATAATGCAAGATATCCCGCCATTAGTTTTCATGAAATAATCCAAAAATCAGCATACACTTGAGAACATAGCAGCTCTACATGTTTTCGCTATTTATTTTCCAATAATATGAGGGGTTCACGGGATAAAGCTTCATTAAGCATAATTGATTACAATATCATCATATATATACCGAACATATAACAAATGGGATATTTGTATACTAAAATAAAAAAGGAGCAAATTATATAATTTTTGTCATGCTACTTATAGGTTCAAAAATCTTATAATATAAAAATATTTTCAAATACAAAGAAAATATGTGTTTATTTCAAATTTGAAAATTAGATATCTTGTGGGGTCCACTTTCCTCCTCTGTAATCACCTGTAGGGTTATCCTTAGGAAATCTTTTTGCATTTCTTGCCTTGTTGATCTCTTTTCTTGTTTCTGGTGTAGCTTTCTTTTGATTTCTGGATTTATTTTTCTCATATTCAAGTTTTTGGAGTTCGCGGATTGAAGGAGATATTTGGTAATTATTGACACGATTGTATATTTCTTGTTTGCATTTCTCTCCTTCGTTTTTTTGTAAAATTGTAACAGCCGTACGCATTTCAAACGATTTTGCGTTGTTTCCTTTGGGACACTGAGTAAGCATTGAGTGATGTATCGATTCATTTTGTTGTGTTTGAGCATTAGGATCAATTTCTGGAATCAACTTTGCGGCATCATCTGTAAAACGTTGAAATTGCTTCGCTAAATCAGGTTTTGTAAGTGGCTGAAACACAGGATATTCTTTGTCTTTTTCGTGAAGGCAATTTTCATGCCTTCCGATAAAATGATTTAATGTATTCTTCCATAGGAAAATTTTTTTCGTTGTTTCAATTGGAAGCATGATAATAAAAGTGAACCACTTAATAACTTTCGAATATATCTGATGAAATACTTTTTCTTGGTGTTTTAATGGTCTTCCACGTTTCTTCGGCTCTTCTGCTTTAGATTTGATTGGGAATGCTGGCTGTGATTCACTTTCTTTCTGTTGATTAACAGTTTCTTTTCCTGCTGCTTCTTTATATCCACCATTTTCAAGCTTTTCGAAAGCTCTGCCAACTGCACGTACACAATGACGAGGATCAAGTGTAATTTTAGCATTCGGAGCATATTGCTGGATGATGGCTTTCGTTTTATTGTCATTGTCATGAACCACTGTGGAAACATTTGTAAAGTCAAAATTTGACATCATCCTCTTTGTACATTCTGTTTCCATCATGTTGGATGGGCCTTCAAAGTCTCCTCCAGAGCTCTTTTTTATAACAGTTGTTTCACCAACAACTTTTCCACGGTTGTCCATCATTAAACTTTGGCACGCTGTAGCATTTCTGCCAACATTATAATGCGAATCAGTGCTTAAAAATGTATCTTTCTTCATTGTTTGTTGAGCATTTTTAATAGATTGCTCTTTATATTCTAGTATTACCTTACCTATTTCTTTTTGATGACGGTAAAACTCTTTTTCACTCGGCACTTTAATATTGTTATCTTGAAATAAATTCCTTGCTCGAGTATAAGAGTCACCATTAACAATTACAGAAGCAGTCCAGTGTTTTGGATCGACTTCCTTTGGCGCATTCTTTTCTTGGGAGTTTTTTCTTGCTTCAATTGATTTTTCGTTAGCTTCACGACTTTGTTGTTTGCGTCTGCTTGGTGGAGGCATATTACGTAAATGGTCGGCAAAAAATGTAATAAACGTAGTGAATAATTAAAAAGATTGCTTTATATAACAAATATAATCATTTTTTCCTTAGAAATCCCATTATTTGCATAACAATATTTAAAAATATTTTTTTGATATAGTTTACAGTCACATCAATATGAACTATATTAAACTATCAGAAACTTATGTATGTTATTAGTAAAGTTGAAATTTTTATCATATTTACACATTAAATTTAATTTTCATGCATATTTAAGTTTTTTTCAACACAATCTTGTATTGTTAGTACCGACAATATGAAAGAAAGTTATACTGTATTTAATTTTAGCAATAAACAAAAAAATCTAAATTATATCTTTAGATACTAGGATTGATTTAATGACTAAGAACGTTTTTATCAATAATACCATGATTCATAACATATAGACATAACCTAAATATACCAAAGCATTTCTACTTGGAACTAGCGCATCGCCAAAATAATGGGTCAATATTCATTTGACGTAATGCTGATCGAGAGAAGTCTTTATATATAAGCCTTATCACAATGCCACGAATGCACCCAGCTGCAGGCGTGTCTTGTTTAACATTCATTCCTATATATGATGGAACATTAATCAATAATCATGGAAGTATCACTTTTCAAATAACATCATTGTTAAATGAAAGAAAATTGTATGCAAAATTACATTTTGGTAATGGTGAGACGCAATATGTTGAAGTATATATCATTATTATTTAATATACAAACAAACTCTAGTACAAAATTGTATTAATTCAACTTTCATGTCTAATATAAAAACTTTTTTTAAAAAAAAGAGATATAATCGTGTATAATATGAGAAAAATGAATATCAATACAAAATAAAATATCAATTAGCTATTGCTGATGACATATCATGAATATTGATCATTTGATTTGATTAATTTTGATAAATATTAGGCTTTTTGCTAGTTACATATTACAATAAGGCTTTTAAATGGATATTTATTGATATGAGCTTATTTCAAAATGACAGTCTTTGATTTATCCACTAATAAGATTTGATGTCACAAAAATCTAGATTTTGGGGCATAAAAACCTAACACCAAATCATAACTTCTGTGCATATACTAAATTGAGTACAGAAATATGTTAATTTTCAGTATTTTTAGAAGAATTCTTATTATCCTTCAAAAAGTCAGTATTTCTGCTGTAATTTTCTACAACATTGTAGTTATTGCACTTTGTCTATGGATTTGTATATATGTTATATATAAATTATATATCTAAACTGCCCATAAGTGCAATTTTTATATAAATTGTTTATTTCTTTAACAATTTCATATGAAATATGCTTTTTTAAGCGTATCAAAGCTGTGTTCTTAATGTGCATGGATATATCAAGAAAAATGTCGAAAAAAAATGTGAATTCACAAATTCACTGAATTTTCACCGTTTTTTGAATTTTGCTACAGCACTAATATTAAATAATACTAAAATCTTCTGTCTTTGTAAAAGAATAAATTCTGACAAAAAGTGCTCGTTTAAATTTAATGATCATCTGTATGACTAAGTGGTAAAAAGTGTTTATGACCAAAAAAGGGTTACATGCTTAGTCTATTTTTCTGACAGGATACTCTAGATTTACATGATCTCTATTTCATATCTCCGTTTTTAGATTCTTCGACAGATTTTATGATAGAAAACCAAGATTAACAAATTTCCGGCATGTTAATGAAGAAATCTGCAGCTACCCTCAATATTATTTCAATAATCAGTATCGTTTCTCTTACAATTTATTTTTTTCTCAATAATTTAACAAGAAATAACAATACACACTTGGTTTTACGTATAAAAGCTAAGTGTCGAACTTAATCAACTTTACTTACTTAGCAAATGAATATTTTTGTGGTTGCGAGTTCTGAATGCTGAAGTTTTAGATTTCTCTATAAATGATATCATTGCACTTACAATGTTGTCCAGCCTATCGCATAAATCATAGAAAATCCAAAAAAAAATAATATAAAGAAAATTCATGTCATGAAGTTCAAAAAATACCGTGTAACATTAAAATTTGTTATGCATAATACATTTTAGCTATTATTGATTTTTTTTAATTTTCGAGAAATTGAATGGTGAGTCCGATAGAGAAATTTTTAAAAATCCTAGTGCCTCATAGAAGTAATTTCCCTCGTCTCCCATACTTCCAAATGTATGCATATGACATAAACTTTTATGCATTACACAAGTGGCCAATAATATCTATAGAGTAAAAAATTAGAAATTTAATTTTTTTATATGATAGTTATATTTCAGATTTGCGAGCGTAACTTTTTTCTCCATGGCATACTTGTTTTAAGAGCAAATGATCAAAATCGTCCTTCAATTATTGAAGGAGCTGATATCTTTTGAAAATTGAATTGAAAGGGTATTCAATTTTCAAATTTCCTCTCAATTTTGGAAACATATCAACTCTATGAATTAACAATTATGTGCCTTCACAGTTTATCAGTCATATAAGGTGCTTATAAAGAAAAAAGTTACGCTCGCAAAATATGTTTTTATATAGATTTCACATAAAATAATTATGTAATTTCTAAAAAGAATATTTTTGTTCTTGAATATTAAAGTGTATTGTAGTTTAAAAAGTTTTAAATATGTTGCTAAAATTTCAGGTTTATAGTTCATGTCTAGCATGACTTCTTCGTATGCGCAAAAAATCTGACACGTAAGGGTATCCTTAACTTCAATATTTCCACCATAAAACTCATTTGTACTACGTTGTTCTAAATTTCCGCATTCATAAAAAGAACTTTCGTAAAGATAATTTTTATTATAGGGTGTCCAAAGGTGTGTTTAGCACAAACCTGAATACTGCGAATAGAAATAAACAAGTTACATATATATAAAGTTTATTTAAATATAATCACCATTGGATTCAATCACGCGTTCGCAGCGATCGATCCAGGCTTCAAAGACACGCTTTAAATCATCATGAGAAAATTGCTCAAATTGCTCTCTTACAAAATTTTCAAGATCATCTGGACTCGCGAATTCGCGTCCTTCAGCTCTCTTTTTTAGCGTGCCGAATAAATAAAAGTCAGAGGGTGCAATATCAGGTGAATAAATTGGGTTTGGAACAACTTTGACATTGTTTTCCAACAAGTAATTCATTACCTTATGACTTTTGTGAACTCTTGAATTATCAAAATGAATTGCAAACTTTTGTTTTTGTTGTTTGGATTTCTCATACTCATCAGAATTGATAATTTGAGTAAGAACATTATCAATTAGATACTGAGCATTCATCGTATTAGGTTTTTGAAGAATATCAATTGCGATGATGCCATTCACGCCCCAAAAAACCGACAACATCATCATTGGTGTGTCAATTTTTTTCTTCGGGAATGTTTGCGGATTTTCATCCTTCGGGATCCACATGATTTTGGCTTCTGTTGCATATTGAAACCAAGACTCGTCCCCTGTTACTAAAAAGCGAAACTTCTTGGATTGATACGCACGCAATAGAGAGAGGAGCTCTTTCGAAGATTGGACTCTAGATTTTTTTTGAACTGAATTAAGGTTGTGCGGAACCCAACGTGTATACGCTAGTTTGTAGTTCAAATAATTGTGCAGATAATAACTGACTGTTGTACGTGGTATCTTTGTCATCTCCTCTATCCTTCTGAGTGATGCTCTTGGGTCTTCATCTAGCGCTTGAAGAATTGCTTTGATTTTTCTTTGATCCGGCGATTTTTTGTCAATTTTTATGATGGGCGCCTTTTTGTTCATGAAGTGATACATTCTAACATGATACGTTACAGTGGAATAGCTAGGAGCATCCATACCGAAGCATTTTACCAATGTCTCGTAGATTTTTTACAGTCTTTGCATTTTTTTGCAAGAGCGAGGATGTTTTCTTTATGATTCATTAAAAAAATGAAAAAAATCCCGCCAAAATTTCCCGCGAAACCGCCTCTTGTCTCAAAATTCATTTTATATCCCGGCATGGCGCCAAAATACAACATACTCATCATATACATATATTCATATTTTTTATTATATATTTATAATCAGCATATATCTCCTTTAATAGTCTCATATAGAGCGCTGTGCTAAACGCACCTTTGGACACCCTATATTTTCACTAATTTGTAAGTCAACAAATGAATGATGTGCATTACCAGAGTTTGTTTTTGATTTGTAGCCACATGTTCGGTATTGGACAATGGAACTTTCACAACTAAAGTAGATTGATCCACCATTTGTATCACTGCTGCAGATATTAAATGAACAATCAGAGCTAAGAAACTTATTATTCGAATCTTCATAATAAATAGCACTTTTAGTTGTAATATCAATGAATATACAGTTGTATAAGAAACATTTATTTTCTTTTGACATTACCTCAATATTTTTACCTGAAATAACATCAGTAGTATATGTTGAAGGGTTTTGTGACTTTTTTTGTAAACGTAAGAATTCATACATTTTTGAGCGATTTTGTATCATTTTTTTTTACATATGAAGTAAAAAATGTATGATTTTTACGGTTTTTATTCTTACGTTTTTGAATAAATCAAGATTTAAAAATTTTCAGAATCGTAAGAAATTTTCACTAAACCCATACATAATGAAATAAAAAAAATAAAAAAAATAAAAAAATAAACTTTAAAAATTCATGTCTTACATTTTTGAATAATTTATTTTTTTAATTCGTAAGAAAATGAGTGTCAAGACTAACGACGTTAAAAAATTGGGATTCACAAACGAGGAAATAAAGGATATATTAGAGGAGGCGAGTTATGAAGTTAATAAATATTATTTAAGAAATTGTCAAAAATTCGCGGAGTTATTAAATGATTTAGATTATGATGGAAAAATGAATAAAGATGATGTATAAATTTCTTATATCCCACATCTGAAGAAGAAAAACCTAAAGAACCTGATGTTTTCCCTGAATATTATGAAGAACGGATTAAAGATGATGAATATGATGAAATTGAAAGACTGGAAA